ATCTCCTACGCTCCTGAGGCCATTCACCTCTCAGCGGCTAAGTACGCAGAGGAGTTAGGGAAGCGGTTCAACATCTCACCGGCATCCCTCTCAACTCCCTATCGCACCCCCGGACCGAACCACAAACCTGACAACAAAGCCCTGTCCCCTGCTGGGATTCAGACTTACCAGCAGCAGTTGGGATGCCTCCTCTTCGCCTCTGTCACCTGCAGGCCAGACCTCTCGTACATCGCTAGTCAGCTGGCGCAGTACTCACGCAAACCAACGGCCGAGAATCATCTGGACCTGCAGCGGGCTCTCCAATTCTTCATTTCAACGCCCAAGATTGGGATGCGCCACTCAACTGCACCAACTCCATCCTTCAACCTCGTCGGCTACGTGGACGCCGATCACGCAGCAGACCCTGATAATCGACGGTCCAGGACCGGCTTCCTGTTCCGACTCGAGCCATCAGGACCAATCTCCTGGAATTCACAGAAGCAGGAATTGGTTGCCCTGTCATCTGCCGAAGCGGAGTTAATCGCAGCAACCGCAGCAGTTCGCGAGGGCCTCTATCTGCAGGAACTTCTGCAAGAGGCGAAAATTCCGACTTCGCCGACCTTCCGCCTTCACTGTGAAAACCAGAGCGCGATTCGCATCGCGAACAAACCTGGCTTCGTCAACCGCACCAAGCACATCGCGCTGCGGTACTTCTTCGTGAAGGACGAGGTGGACAAGGGCAAGGTCAACTTGACCTACTGCCCGACGGGTGACATGGCAGCAGACTTTCTCACGAAGCGACTGCCACGCCAGCAGTATCAGCACTGCTCCGAACTCAGCGGCGTGGTCAAACAGGTCAAGTCGAGCTACGGCCAGGAGTGAAGGGGGGTGTTACGAATAGTAATATTCAATATTACTGTGCACTCCTCACCGCAGCAAAAGAAGCACGCAGTAACGAGAATGAACGCGAAGCGTCAGACAGTTGGAATTGACTCGAAGCGACGGACAGTTGGGACGCATCTGGACCGTCGGAGCAGACGGCATCGGGCAGCAGCAGGCAGGATGGTTTTTGCGGGAACAGTTACGAAACTGTACGCGCCGCACGGTTGGGAGTGAATTTGAATAAGGGAATGTACCCCTTAGAGTACATGGCTAGTTAGGTCGTTTCGTATTCCCCTGTACTCTTATTTATATCATCTTGTTTGCATGTTTTATTATCTCAAGCATTTACATTCACTCTGCTATTGAGGTCAAGGGCCCACCAACTATCTCACTGCGTGCGAACCTTCCTGGGTAGATCCTGGGCTACGATCAATTTCTGATCGCAGCAGCACTGTACTGAAACAAGCCCCACACTAGCGAGGATTTCGAAGATCTCCTCTTCAGCTGAATCCGACGGCTGAAATTCCCTAGGCAATAATTGTGAAAAGGTTGGAATTGAGGCCGTTGATGCAGTCAGATTACGATCTGACGGTCGAAGATGAACTGGCCCAAGTGATTTGGGAGGTTGGAATGTGGGCCGTAGATTCGATTGCTGTAGATCCGACGGTCGAAGCTGATGTGATTTTGGAGGGAATCTGCTGACGCGAATTCAAATGCGATTGAGCAAAGGCCGTCGATCGTGTCGGTGTGATCGCGATCGTCCGTCGTGCTGACGCAACCTGACAAAGTCAGAACAAGACCAAGAAAACGCCAAGGAAAGAAATAGTGCAAAGCACTTTCTCCCCCCCTCCAAGAATTGCACCGTAAAACAGTCAAAGCCACGCCGAAATGAAAATCAACGAAACCAGGTGTTAATCCCACGAAGAAAGCCATTGAGAGTAGGATGCCGAGTGAAGTTGCGTTGGTGTGGGAATTCCGATGACGAGACCAGTTGTTACGTGCCCCAAAATCTCCAAGGGCGAACCAGCAAAATTAGACCAGAAACCGAAACCAAAATTGCCAAGTACTCGAACTGAAGCTTTTTGTCTTCACGTCGCCAGAATCGTGCAGTATCTGCAGCAGTTGCAACTGGCAGCACCTGACGTGGTTGAAATCAATGCAGTTGTCGTGGGCGGGTCGAGTGGATGGGTTTGTCGCTAGTAGAGTCGGAATGGAACCGTCCTGAAAACCTCTGGCCGTGAAATCAGGAGTGTTACGAGTGTCGTCGAAGTCGGCGATTGAAGGCGATTAAAGGCGAAGTTGTTTATCGAGAGTCGGCGATGGTCGTCGAAGCAGTAACCGTAGCGAATGTCACTCCGAAAAATATTGTCGAACACGAATCAGTGTCAGATGATGTCAGCACCTCCGGCGGGTTTGTCCATACTCGCCGAGCATTTTGTCGCAATCCGCCGATGACTCCCGGGCAGAGATGTAAAAATTACAGCTGTCTCTCCCCCCTTCCACTGTTGCTGCCGCCTCCTCCAGTTCGTCGTAAGTCGTTCGTACCCCTGAGAAAATCCGTGTAGATCTCGCAGTGTTGCCCCACGTAAATGTCGCGCGTGTTTAACCAAACTCCGAAAACTGCTGCGAAATTGTCGCCGCTTCTGGCGTAAGGCCTGTAAAGTCCCGCGAAAAAACTCCGAAAATGTCGGTCGAAATCAACCCCGGAAAATCCGCTGTTGCAGTTGCAGTTCGCCTCCGAAATCTTCGGTCGCCCTATAGCCGCCCACCCGGTCACCATCAGTTTCCGTCAGTTTACCCGACCCCAGCATGTGGGTTCAATCGAGAACCGGGGACTGCCCTGGGTCTTCCGAGACCGAATTTCACGGAACCTAGTGGCATCAACGCCGTTGACCTCCGTAGTCGAAGCTGCTCCCGCCGATGTCGTTTAACAAAAAGTCCTGTTTCTCCCACCAGCGCTTTGCAGATGTTTCACCCATCGCTCGTCGCCGGCCGTTAAGTCTCCGAAGCTACGACTGCTCCCACGCTTCCCTTTTTTGAAGAATTTCCCGAGGTGTGCGTTTAAACATTAGGGGTCCTAGGAATCCTTGCCGCTGTGTTTCTTGCCAGGCAACTTCGAAAAGTGCCCTTCAGGCGAAGTCCCCCAACGACTCAACCGCACTCCAAGAAGCGAAGAAATACCCGCAGCTTCACGATTTTTTTGTTGGTTCACCCCCCGACAATTTCGCTTCCCGCCGTTCACCCAGCGTCCGCTTTTGTCGGATGAGGTATAGTCGGTGTTGCCCCGCGCGAACCCAACCACGGTGGAGAAGAAAAGACTATCGGAGTCGGGGTTGCCTTAGTTAAAAGGAAATCAGTCCCAACCGCTTCGCAGCCCACCGTGCCCGTCGCGCTCCACAGCTCCCGGTCCCATGCTTCGCCGCTGCGTCGTCACCTCGTGTAGACGCCCGGGTCAGGAGAAACCAGCGAACTGTCCCATTGTTGTCCTGCGGCGCCCCGATTTTTTCGCGTGCTGTTTCACCCAGCCCGCTTTTGTCGGAGTAGAACAGTGCCGCAACTCCCCTTTTTTGTCTTTTCTGTACAGCTGTCGAACGGGCACCAATCCAGGTGCTTTTAACCAGCGCAGGGTAGGCCACGTGTTCACCCCCGTTATTCGGCCAAGTAAGTTGACTGCATGAGTCAGAACTAAAACTTGGTGGGGATGGTGAGGTTCGGGCGACGGAAGGTCACAGACCGTTCACACCGGCTTTTAACCTGCCCTTCACGCCGTTTCTCGACCCCCGCTTAGCCGTCGGGCAGTTTCTTCCCGTGCGTCCCGGCGGCCTGTACCGACTCCTCCGTGTTAAACTGTATTATGCTTGTAGGCTGTAGTGGGGTAGCCAATATGGGGTACAACCCCAACTAGGGTTTCATATTTGTACCCAAACTTCTGTTAGTTCATTCATTCTTGCCTAGTTATTCTGAGATGGTATTCAGAGCAGGAGGTCCCTAGGACCTACCGACCGTTTTTTTAAGGGCCCACCACCGCTCGCATGCGGTTACCACGCTACCCCGTGCCCTAGCCTCGTAGCGCCCTCGTGCGCCCTCGTTAGCGCCCTCGCGCGCCCCTCGTTAGCGCCCTCGCGCGCACCCTCGTTAGCGCCCTCGCGCGCCCCTTCGTTAGCGCCCTCGCGCGCCCCTTCGTTAGCGCCCTCGCGCGCCCCTTGCTAGCGCCCTCGCGCGCCCCTCACTAGCGCCCTCGCGCGCCCCTCGCCGAGCCGCCCGCTCGCAGCCCGCCCGCCCGCTCGCTGCCCGCTTCGCGGCCCGCTCGCTACGCAGCCCGCCCGCCCGCTCGCTGCCCGCTTCGCGGCCCGCCCGCTTCGCAGCCCGCTCGCTCGCTGCCCGCTTCGCGGCCCGCCCGCTTCGCAGCCCGCTCGCTCGCTGCCCGCTTCGCGGCCCGCCCACTTCGCAGCCCGCCCGCCCGCTCGCTGCCCGCTTCGCGGCCCGCCCGCCTCGCAGCCCGCTCGCCCCGCTGCCCGCTTCGCGGCCCGCCCACTTCGCAGCCCGCCCGCCCGCTAGCTGCCCACTTCGCGGCCCGCCCGCTTCGCAGCCCGCTCGCCCCGCTGCCCGCTTCGCAGCCCGCCCGCCTCGCAGCCCGCTCGCCCCGCTGCCCGCTTCGCAGCCCGCCCACTTCGCAGCCCGCCCGCCCGCTAGCTGCCCGCTTCGCGGCCCGCCCGCTTCGCTGCCCGCTCGCAGCGCCGCCCGCTCGCCCGCTACCTGCTTCGCAGCGCCGCCCGCTGCCTCACTGCCCGCTTGCTGCGTCGCCCGCCCACACCGCTGCCCGCTTCGCAGCCCGCCGCGCTTCTCACCTGCTGCTCCCTGCCTGTGCACTGCCGCTTTCTCCTGCTGTGGCTACTAGCTTCGCTCTAGCGTGTCCCCTCTGCTGCTGCCGCTGCTCTGCTGTGCCCTCACGCCTGAGCTATGGCCTCTATTCGCGTTCTTTCCTTCGATGCTGAGGGCCGTCCCGTGCAGTTCACTTCCTGGCTCGACGACCTGCAGTTGTATCTTATGAGCAATAGCACGGACCACATCTCCCTCTATGACTACGCGTCTGGTGCTGCTGCTGCTCCTCGCCTGCCACAGCCGAGCTTAGCCGCCTCATGCTGCCGTACCTGTTCCCCGATCTGTCCACCTTTACTACAGTCGCCGATCTTATCACCCACCTTCGCACTAGTGATGCTCGCCTGCGTGCCGCCCTTCCCACCGAGTTCTGCGCTAAGAACCCCCCTCCACTGTACTGGACACTCCACTTCATAGTCACCCGTCTCCCTGACACCCTCCGCTCAGTTCGAGACCACTTCCTTGCTCGCTGTCCCACTGAGCTCACAGTCGCCCTCCTAGAGGAGCACCTGCTCGCGGCCGAAAAGAGCATTGTAGCTGTCGGTGCTGCTCGTGGCGCTCCTCGCACCCCCATCTTTGAGGGGTGTTCTCCCTCTCCCCTCGCTCCCTCCTACGCTGCTGCTGCTGCTGTTGACTTCCTTGGTGCTGAGTCTGTTGGCGCTGCTTCTACTCCTGGTGGGAGGCGCCGCACCGGCAAGGGCAAGGGGGGCAAAAGTGGTGGTGGTGGCGCTGGGGGGGGAGGAGGTGGGGGAGGTGGGGGGGGAGGCGGTGCTGGAGGGAGCGGTGGCGGGAGCGCTGGTGGGAGTGGGGTCGGTGGTGGAGGCGGGGGCGGCGGAGGAAGCAGTGGCAGTAGTGGCGGCGGCGGCGGTGGCGGCGGTGGCGGTGGTGGCGGTGGTGGCGGTACCGGTGGCAGCGGTCGGAGCGGTGGTAGTGGTGGCGGCGGAGGTCGGAGTGGAGGCACTGGCTCGGGCCAGAGCTCCCAGCAGCAGCAGCGTCCCCAGACGACCCAGCAGCTTCGTGAGTGGCTTGCTCAGCGTGGGACGTCGGGGGCCAGTGGCCGCTGTTCTTATGTCATTCGCACAGGTGACCGCAAGGGACAGACGTGTGGGAGGTTCCACACCCCGTACCGCTGCTTCTCCCGCCTTGACGACGCTTGGCGTGAGGAGATGGGTGCGGATGTTGAGCGCCCCCGCTGGGCTGAGCTCATGAGGGCTGGTGTTGATGTCTTTGCTCTTGACTATGATGCTATTATTGCTGCCATGTATGCATTGACTGTTAGTGCCGAGGGAGACTGTTACTTGTGTGTGCCGCCTGACCCAGGTATAGAGCCCGCTGCCCTGGGTACTAGTGAGTCTGCTCTCTCTGGTATGGTGCCCCCTGTACTTGCTCCCCCCAGTGCTGTCCCGGCTGGTTTCGAGTCTGCTCTCTCAGGTACAGCACCCACAGAGACTGCTCTCTCAGGTACCGCACCGGCTGAGGCCTGTCACACCTTCACCCTTGACTCAGGTGCTTCCCGTTGCTTCTTCCGTGACAGTACTGAGCTCACACCGCTTCCTGCACCGGTCCCAGTCTCCTTGGCTGACCCCTCTGGGGGCCCAGTCCTTGCCCAGTCCACCACTGTCCTCCCTTGTCCGGCGGTTCCGTCTGGCTCGTTGTCGGGTTTCCACCTCCCCTCGTTCTCGACGAACCTGGTGAGCAACGCTGTCCTCCAGGATCAGTGGGTTGACACCTTTACCCCTGGCGGACAGCGTGTGGCGATCTGCACGTGCTCCAGGACCGGCCGTCACCTGGCTACGTTTACCCGTCGGCCGGGGTCGAGTCTCTACACACTGACCACTGCGTCTCCTCAGGTAGCTGCTGTCGGTCAGGTGTCTGCGTCAGGTCTGGTAGCCCACGCCTGTGAGTGTCGTTCCCTGTCGCACCAGACTCTTCTCTGGCACCACCGCCTGGGTCACCCCTCCTTGCCACGCCTTCGTGGCATGCACCGTCGCCACCTTGTGTCCGGTCTTCCCAGGTCCCTCCCTCCCCTCCCTGCCTCGCCTGCGCCGCCTTGCCTTCCTTGCGTCGAGGGGCGGCAGCGCGCCGCTCCTCACTCCTCCTCGTTCCCCCCGACAGAGGCTCCTCTGCAGACCCTCCACCTGGACGTGTGGGGCCCAGCCCGCGTTCGTGGTCAGGGCGGTGAGCGGTACTTTTTGCTGGTTGTCGACGACTACTCGCGTTACACCACGGTCTTCCCCTTGCGCACCAAGGGTGAGGTCCCTGCTGTTCTGATCCCTTGGATCCGCACGGTTCGTCTCCAGCTCCGCCGCCGTTTCCGGACGGATCTTCCTGTCCTGCGTCTGCACTCTGACAGAGGTGGTGAGTTTTCCTCCGATCTCTTGAGGACCTTCTGTCAGGCGGAGGGCATCGAGCAGACCTTCACGCTTCCGGACTCCCCACAGCAGAATGGGGTTGCTGAGCGCCGCATTGGCCTGGTCATGGAGGTCGCTCGTACCTCCTTGGTCCACGCGGCGGCTCCCCATTTTCTGTGGCCGTTTGCTGTCCGGTACGCCGCGCATCAGCTCAACCTCTGGCCCCGTGTCTCCTTACCGGAGACCTCGCCCACACTGCGTTGGACGGGGGAGGTTGGCGATGCGTCGCGCTTCCGGGTGTGGGGTGCTCGTGCCCTTGTCCGCGATACGTCCGCGGACAAGCTCTCCTCCCGCACGCTTCCCTGTGTCTTCCTTGGCTTTGTCCCTGACGCGCCTGGCTGGCAGTTTTACCACCCCACCTCGCGCCGGGTCTTCGCCTCTCAGGATGTCACCTTTGACGAGTCGGTCCCTTTTTACCGTCTCTTCCCCTACCGCACTGCCCCCCTCCCTCCCCCGCCGCTTTTCCTTGCTCCTGGTCCCCCTCCGGTAGACCCCCTTCCCCCTCAGGGTCCTGCTCCTTCAGGTGTCTCTCAGGTAGACCCTCCTCCCGTCGCTGAGCCTGTCGAGGTCACAGGTGACTCAGGTGCTGCTGCGGGTGGTGCTGCTGGGAGTGCTGAGCCTGGGGGTGCTGAGCCTGGGGGTGCTGGGCCTGGGGGTGCTGGGGCTGCAGGTGCTGGGACTGAGGGTGCTGGAGCTGAGGGTACGGTGCCTGAGAGTACGGAGCCTGGGGGTGCTGCGCCTGGGGGTGCTGAGCCTGCGGGTGCGGGGCCTGGGAGTGCTGGGACTGCGGGTGCTGGAGCTGAGGGTACTGTGCCTGAGAGTTTGCCGCCTGGGGGTGCTGAGCCTGGGGGTGCTGCGACTGGGGGTGCTGAGCCTGCGGGTACTGAGCCTGCGGGTACTGAGCCTGGGGGTGCTGCTACTGAGCCTACGGAGCCTCGGGTTACTGCGTCTGGGGGTGCTCCGGTTCGGGGTGCTGAGCAGTCTCTCACACCGCAGCAGCTTCGTGACTGGTACGTCCGACGCTTTCGCCGTCCTAGTGGCTCGGCTGGAGTTGGGGGTGCTGGAGCTGCTCGTCCTGGGGGTGCTCGTACTGGGGGTACTGGAGCTGCCGGGACTGGCTGTTCTGGGAGCACTGCGACTGGAGCTGCTGGAGCTGGGGACTCTGGCGCTGGCGGTGCTAGCGGAGTTGGAGCTCCCGACTCTGGGGGTGGCGCTGCTGCTGGTGCTGCGGACCCACCTGGTGGAGCTGCTGCTGGTGCTGAGGAGTCGGACGGTGGAGCTGCTGCTGGAGCTGGGGACCCGGCCGGTGGAGCTGCTGCTGGTGCTGTGGACCCGGACGCTGGAGCTCCTACTGGTGCTGAGGACCCGGCCGCTGGAGTCCCTTCTGCTTCTGGAGACGTTGCGCGGCCGCGACCGTACTTCGTACCGCTCCTTCAGCAGGTTCTTGGGCAGGCTCCTCCTCCTTGTCCTCCTCCCTCCGTAGAGTGTCCTCCGCCTGTCCAGCCGCAGTCACAGTTACCGCCTGCCTCGCCTCTCCCTGCTCCCTCTCCTTATACTGGTCCCACAGGAGGTCTTACAGAGCGTCGTGAGCCTGAGTCTCGTCCTGCGTCGCCTGTTCGTCCTGCTCGCACTGGTAGTCGTGTCCGTCGTGAGCGTCCTCCTCCTGTCCCAGGCACTCACTACATGACTCTGCGTCCCTCTACTGCTCCTCGGCGTGTCCCTCTACCGTCTCCTCCTGCGTCCTCTTTGCCTGCCGTTCCGGACCCTGAGTCTGACCGGTATCGCGCTGAGCACCCTACAGTCACGCGTCTCCTCGCTACTGTTGTCACTGACCCTACCTTTGAGTCCTCGGCTGCGTCTGCTCTGGTCGCTGAGTTGGTTGACTTTGCTGCTGCCTGTCGTCTAGACTACGCTGCTAGCCTTGTTGCTGAGTCAGAGTCTGCGTCTGTCTGTCCTCCGTCCGTCGGGGGTGAGTGTGCTCTTGGCACGGACATCCTTGAGGACAGGCAGGAGGACTTTGACTCTCTTGCGGCTGCTGTACCTCATCTCGTGGCCTGGTTGCTTGCCCCTGAGGGAGACCCGGATGCACTAGACATCCCCACTCCGCGCACTTACGCAGAGGCGATCTCGGGTCCCTACTCCTCTCAGTGGCAGACAGCCATGGACGCAGAGATGGCATCCTGGAAGTCCACAGGCACCTACGTCGACGAGGTTCCCCCTCCTGGGGCGAACATCGTCGATGGCATGTGGATTTTCAGGGTGAAACGGCCGCCAGGTTCTCCGCCTGTCTTCAAGGCTCGTTACGTTGCTAGAGGCTTCAGTCAGCGTCAGGGGGTCGACTTCTTCCAGACCTTCTCCCCCACCCCGAAGATGACCACTCTTCGGGTTCTGCTGCACGTTGCTGCTCAGCGTGACTACGAGCTTCACTCTCTTGACTTCAGCACAGCGTTCCTGCAGGGCAGCCTGCACGAGGAGATCTGGCTGCGCCGCCCACCTGGCTTTACTGGGTCGTTTCCCCCTGGTACCCAGTGGAGTCTCCGCCGGCCAGTCTACGGTCTCCGCCAGGCGCCACGTGAGTGGCACGACACACTGAGGACTACTCTTGCGGCTCTTGGGTTCGCGCCGTCTACTGCTGACCCGTCGCTGTTTCTGCGCACAGACACGTCGCTGCCGCCGTTCTACATTCTCGTGTACGTCGACGACTTGGTCTTTGCTACTGCTGACACTGAGGCACTCGCTCGTGTGAAGTCGGAGCTGCAGAAGAGACACACCTGCACTGACCTGGGTGAACTGCGTAGCTACCTTGGCTTGCAGATCACCCGGGACAGAGCTCGCCGCACCATCACCCTGACTCAGTCACACATGGTGCAGCAGGTCCTTCAGCGCTTCGGCTTCCAGTTCTCCTCACCACAGGCCACACCTCTGGCTACCAGCCACTCGCTCTCAGCTCCACCTTCGGACGAGTCCGTAGAGCCGAGTGGCCCGTACCCAGAGCTTGTAGGCTGCCTCATGTACCTGATGACTTGCACGCGACCTGACCTCGCGTACCCTCTTAGCATCCTTGCTCGTTACGTTGCGCCTGGGAGACACAGGCGAGAGCACTGGGAGGCTGCTAAGAGGGTGCTGCGTTACCTGTGCAGTACATCAGGCATGGGGCTGGTGCTTGGAGGACGCGACAGAGTTGTCCTCACTGGTCACTCGGACGCCTCTTGGGTGGACGACCTGGCTACGCAGCGGTCGTCACAGGGTTACACCTTCAGCCTTGGCTCAGGTTCTGTCTCGTGGCGGTCCACCCGCTCTTCCTCTGTTCTCGGCTCTAGTTGTGAGGCTGAGATCTACGCCACAGCCATGGCTGCACAGGAGTTACGCTGGCTCACCTACCTGCTGACTGACTTGGGAGAGCGGCCTAGTTCTCCTCCAGTTCTGTACGGTGACAACAAGGCGGCTCTTGCCTTGTGTCAGGAGCACAGACTGGAGCACAGGACGAAGCACATTGCTCTTCGCTACTTTCTTGCTCGAGAGCTTCAGCAGCGCGGTCAGCTTCGGCTTGTGTACGTGGACTCGAAGGCCAACACTGCTGATATCTTCACCAAGGCGCTCCCGCCTAGTGATCATCAGCGGCACTGTACTTCTTTAGGCCTTGTGTCCATGTTTCCTCACTTGCTCACTGCTTGACATTCTTTGTACTGTACTTTATATATATCTTGTTGCTTGCTTGCTAGGTTTTGATCACTGTGTTGCTTGTCTTGTACTATATCTAGCACTGCATGTGAACTGGCCTTGTGGCCTTTACTTGTGCTCGGAGTGTGGTGACGTTGTGATCCACCCTGGGCTTTGTTTTGCTTTGCTGGACTGGTCTTGTGACCCTTTGTTCTCCCCCACTTTGCCTATGGGGGTGTGTTAAACTGTATTATGCTTGTAGGCTGTAGTGGGGTAGCCAATATGGGGTACAACCCCAACTAGGGTTTCATATTTGTACCCAAACTTCTGTTAGTTCATTCATTCTTGCCTAGTTATTCTGAGACTCCGTAAATGTCGGGGCAGTACGTTGAACGCCGTTTAATCGTGGGTCGTTCACAGCTGTCCCCGAAAACGGCTTCCCTGGTAGGAGAAACCGCTCTCGAAATTGCCGACCAGCTTGCAACAACTCCAGGCACGCAGCGTCGCACGAGTCGTTTTCCGAGGTTGCCGGCCCCGGTTTCCCTCGTCGCCTGCGCCCCACTTCTGCTAAGTGCGATATGGCCACTCCGCTTTTCGTTGCAGCCCGTAAGTGTCGGCGGGTCCGAAAATCCCGTCTGTCCACGTGCACTCCTGCCGAAATCTTCAATGACGTGCCCGCCATGCAGTAAAAGCCGCTGCACTTTCCGGTCGGGCGGGACGGCAGTTAACTCCCGCGAAGTCGGGCAGTTTTGTGACGTCTCTCCTCGCCACCGACATTTTCGGACGCAAAACACCATTTGCGCCTGGCGAGTTCCCCAGCCGACTTTTCTTCAACAGTTCTCCCGAAATTGTCGCCCACAGTGACGCACGTCCGTTGTCAGCAGTTGCCGAGCCACACTCCGTGATTGTCGCGCAACTGTTGACTCAAGTCCGACGGCGTCAACTGCCACACATGCTGACGACTTCGCAAATTTCGTGCAGGTGCCGACGCAGGTCCGCTGACGCCAGCTGCCTCACAAAACTTCGAAATCGTCGTTAAAACTGCAGCGGAAATAGTAACTCACGTTCGATGTCGCGACAGCTCCAGCTGTCCGTTGCCCGGGGGGAGGGAGGTCACGGTCGATCGCGACCGTTCGAGCTAAGGATCTGGTGGTACCAAAGGAGTGCCCGTAAAAACATCGCCGCGAAGAGCAACTAACTAGTTCTCTTGGCCGGCCTACGCAACTCCTGGACCCCAAGGCATCCTTACTCGTCCCCCCCCCCCCCCCCGACCCCCCCCCCCCCGACCCCCCCCCCCGAGGGGTAATACACTCTAAAAAGCGGGGTAGGCTAGGAAAGTAGCTCTGATACCAGGTGTTATGAATGAACTTGTCAGAGTGCGCAGATATCGAATAACGAGAATGAATGAACTACTGAATGACTGAACAATGAAGTAGCGAGGCCTAAATAGGGGAAAACCTAGCTAGGCGGGGGGTTCGGGATGGGATGGCTCGGTGATGGCTACGATTGGAGCGGAGGCCGACTCGGGGGTGGTTCGGTGCGACGAAATAGGCATCGCAGGTTCGTCGCGACACCCTCGGGATGTCCTCGCTAACAGCTGGCTACAGTAAGGAATTCTAATTCCTTACAAGTGCTCTGTTTTTCAAATCGCACCAGAAACGCGTGTACACAGGTAGGAGCAAATGAAAATCCCCAAAACACAAATCACAATTCATTGTCATATAAGCTGGTGGCACTCGCGAACACACAAATTCAAAGTGGGCTCCTCATACGGTACAAGTCTAGATGTGTCGTCATCACCCCATGCCCAGTTGATTCTGCTCACGAGCATCATTCTCAATGAACCATTTCTCTGCAGCAAACTTAACATCCTGCACAAGCCCAAGATAAGATGGGATTAGCGCAGTGCCATTTGTTCATAGCACACAATACAACGAGCGGTCGAAGGAGTGGAGGAAACACCGAACGGGCCTCTAAAGCAATTCAATACCTTGAGAGGGACGTGATTCTTTCTTGCAATTGCAGCGCATGGCTCATACTCTGCTGTAGCTGTCACCTGCCACGAAAAAAAGATGGAAAGTAAAACAGAGCGTGACGAAACAAACATGCTCAGCAAGGCAATCCTCTGCAAGACTCTCGGAAAAACGGAACAAAGAGGAACAGAAAAGGGAATACAATAGCTTACCAGTTTTCCCTGCAGGTATCCGGCCTTCACCGGCACCCATCCCCAGGGCGTAAGCGCACTCTCCACGAGCCTCTGCATTGCGACACGTTCACACGGCACTATGCGCACTCCCAGTGTGGTGGTCTCCTGTAAAACATAACCAGGAAAAAAAAATAAAGAAAAAGAATATGGACTCTTCAGCAAGAGAGCACCCTAAGCACTCTCCATGAGCCTCTGCATTGCGACACGTTCACACGGCACTATGCGCACTCCCAGTGTGGTGGTCTCCTGTAAAACATAACCAGGAAAAAAAATAAAGAAAAAGAACAGATATGGACTCTTCAGCAAGAGAGCACCCTAAGCACTCTCCATGAGCCTCTGGATTGCCACACGTTTCACACGGCACTATGGCACTCCCAGTGTGGTAGTCTCCTGCATCTTGGGAGTGAAGGTAAAGAGGAACATTAAGACGGCCTCTCTGGCCTTACTGCTGTGTCAGCAACACTCCCCACGAAACCTTGCCCAGCAGTATGAAACGTGAATTGAGGGAGTTTTTGAGACGCCTCAGAAACACAATCATTTCACGTTTCATACTGCTGCTTCGGCTCTCTCCATGAACCCTTGCCCGCCCCCCCTATTCAGAAAGAGGAAGAAAAGCTGAATGCACAGCAACAAATTAGAGTAGCAAGCAAACGAGCAACCGAGACAAATGAAAAGTGATACACTGTTTGAACAAAAATAGGAACAATTGCACGTACGTTGAGAATGATGGAGAGCATATCGTCACATTGACTGCGATCACACAGCACATGCAGCACCACGCCTGGCCGCCCTTTCTTCATAACGGCCTGTGTAGGAGTGGTGGTGCATGGGGGGAGGTGGGGAGAAAAAAGGGTTGGTTTTCATTAGACTTGACAAAAGAGGATAAAATGATGGTCAGCGCTTTGGCTCACATTGACCAGCACTGACCCAGAGTAAGCAACATGGACTCACATTGAGCAGAACTGACTCACATCAAACAGCATTGACTCACATCGAACAGCATTGACTCACATCGAACAGCATTGACTCACATTGAGCATCATCTACTCACATTTAGCAGCATTGAACCACGTTAATCAGGGTTGACTCACATTGACCATCCACACATCACGAGCGCCTGCTGAGAGCAGCAGCTCCGAGACGTAAGCCATCTGCCCTGGGGAAATAGGGGGGCCTGCATACCCACACTTGACTTGCAATGACCAGCATTGACTTTTATTAACCATCATTGACTCACATTGACCATCCACACATCACGAGCGCCTGCTGAGAGCAGCAGCTCCGAGACATAAGCCATCTGCCCTGGGGAAGTGGGGGATATGGGGAGGGGAGAGAAGAAAAAGAAACAAAGGAGGGGGGGTTGGGAAACGGGGGCTTGGTTTGCATTCGGAGAGCTGAATATGACATCTCAGATGTGGAAAGAGGGGAGCGACAGGCTAGAGGATAGAGTGTTAACAATGGAAGTTTGTTAGAGGCTCGCAGTGCAAATAAAAAAAGTGAATATATAAGGAACGAATGAACTGAAGAGGAGACTCACGATTTGTGGTGTGATGTCGTCGATGTTCGTTTCTAGGGTTACCAGCTGCTCAACTGTCATTCCGCCTTCGGCAGGCGGGCCGCCACCGCCTCCCATCGCCGCTCGAGGCATAATGTATCTTTTACGACTCAAAACACATCCAGCCATTTTTTTCCCGATGTAAATGCCAGAGTTGACCGTGGTACGCGGAGACGACGTTTTGTGGCGAATCCCGGTGGTAACATCGCATGTGCTTTTGCTGGCGAAGAAAGCGCTGCAACGGTTGCTGCTGCGTATTTTGGAGCCATTTATCGCGATGCTGTTCCCGTCGCTGGGAAGGGAAGAAGGACTGACTATGCGGAAGGGCGAACCTAGTTGATTGGCGCAAACCATGGCTGCGAGGTGGTGGGGTCGTGCAGCTACAAAAAGCAGGACTCGGGATTTGGGCGAATCGAGGAATTGGATTGTATGCAGACGAATTCGACCGAAATGGTGAAATCAGTGGGGTGACGTGACAGGAAACGTTTGATTACGGTGCGCGCTGGTTCGTCAGGGTTTCGGGCGTTTGACAAGGTATACTGAAAGTTGGAGCGCCTGTTCGCTATTGGTTGCTTCTCGTTTGTGTATTGAGAAAGATACATGGAGAAAAGCCAAAAGTGGTAAATCTTGGGTGACCCGTGATGCAACTTCTTGATGTGATTATTTGCCAACAGAAAACACCCTTGCAATTTTCTACTGTATCAGCCGTCACGGTCGCGCCGCCCGCACCCGTAAGTTGCCAAACCAAACCTGCGGCTACTGGCGCGTCCAAGCCAGAACGAAGCGCGGGAGCAGGTCAGCCTAGCTGCCCCTCCTCCCCAGCTTTACCGTACCACAAACCGAGCTCTGGCGCCTATTTTCCGCTTTTTCCGAGCCAGACCACTCACTACAGTGTCGAAACCGAGCCAGCCAACCGCATCCCCATTGCGCCTTTCAACACCAAGGAGCAACCCCAACCACCCAGTGGCTACTTACACCGAACTGGAAACCTCTAAGAACCATTGCAGCCATGATGAACGTCTACAAACCGCACATTGAATATGGGCATTCTCAAACCGCGAGCGACTCAATCAAGAAGACTCCAGAGAGATGGCTGGCTATCGCCGTCCCCTGCCAGTGAAGTCCGCCATAGCCCGTTGCTCATCGTTAGTGTTGCCGATAATTGGGTTTCAGTAAATTGTTCAAGCTCCACGCTGGTCCGCATCTGGCGCTTTGATGTAACTCATCGCGTATTCTAGCTTCCCGGCCCCATCTTTAGACTTCTCGGAACAAGTTGTAGAAGCTGGTTGACTGGAGGCGCTGGGTTGATTGTTGACGTGACTTCGAACAGGCTCAGAGAAGTCAGCTTTTGGGGAGCCTGAAATTTCTACTCTTCCCGCTTCGCAAGCATCGCCGGTTAGAGCTCGCACGATTCATGAAGGGAACAAAAGGCAGTGAGAGAAAGGGCCTCGTACTACTGTCGCGTTGGTGGTTGTGTTCGTGAAATCTCGGCACCGCGCGCGAATCTTGGATTCACACTGAACCGAGCCTTACCGCAGTGGGGTTTCTTGGCTTAGCCACACTCGGCGGTTCAGTCTCAATCGTCGCTTTGACATTCTGAAGAGAACGGGGCGCCTCGTAGAAACACTCCGATGACAACACTTAGCTGAGCGACGTCTAGCCGTCCCTGTCGGTCTGTGTGTCGGTGACTCAAACATGACGTCTTCGACTGTGTAATTCCGGAAGGCGCAAAATGGCAATTTCGCCGGCAAAACGAACGATGACGCATTTCGTCTCGCCACTGTCGAACGACGGCGGGAGAAGAGGGGACGCAGCCACGTGCCGCGGTGCTGACGGAAACGTGTCGGAGATCCCAAGGCCCGCTGATTGGGCAGCCGTCGTCGGGAATCTCGATGCTCGATGCGAGGCGCATTCGCACTTCTGCTGTGATTCTAACGGTGGTGATAATACGGGACATTGCGACGATGTTGCTACCTGTACCAGTTGCGGTGAGGAGAGAAGCGGGGCGGTGTGGTCCGGTTTAAAATGGCGAAAATCCACGTTATCAGCCGCTGCAGTTTCCGCAAAGGTTGCAGGATTTGTGCTGCTGGTTCTGCTCGTGTGTTGCTGGCAGCTTTTGTCGGGACCTGAGGGTTACATGGTTGGGGTGAACCGAGAGATTCTGGGCGGCGAACTGCACATGGTGAGTCAACGAGGGTCGGCTCGGAGGGAGCTGCCTAGCCTTACTGTCCGAGGCTCATCGCCAGGCTCGGCGGATGGAGAAGATGTTGGCTCGGGTGATGATGGTTCAGCAGAGGTGCCGACCACTGCAGATGAAACGGTCAATGACATGCCCGTTTCAACTAGTGACACATTGAAAGAAGCTGAAACGCTTTCAGACGAGGCGTTATCCAGCGATGAGCCATCTTCGCTGACTGAAACGTTGACTGAAACCGTTTCAAATAACACGTTTACGGATCTGGACTTACCTGAGACGGTTCTGTCAAGATTTGGCGGACACAGCATAACTGAACGTTCCACACCTGCCGAGCCTTCCACATCGAACCTAAACCTTCCACCAACATCCCCGTCAGCTTCGGAGCTAGCCTCGGTACCAGGCTCGGCAGTTTTCGAGCCAGCGGGGCTCTCCACCTTGACGGCATGCTTGGAGGTGCTGAGGCTCGCTGCCGAAGCTGACCCGGAGGCTCGGCGCCTGGAGGATTCTGGCTTGGAAGCTGAGATACAGGCGTGGGTGGGAGGCAGAGGTTCTGGGGACGAGGGGAAAGCACCAGGAGAAGCAGAGGGAGAGGACCTAGCAGGAAGAGTTAAGTTTGCAACAGCAGTAGAAACAGGGGCAGGGGCAGAGGAAAGGGGAGGAACACGGGGAAGGGCAGGGGCAGGGGCAGGCTCGGAAACAGGCTCGGCAACAGGCTCGGCGGCTGGCTCGGAGTCAGGCGTACAAGACGACGAAGAGACACGTGTGGCGTATGAATGCAGAGCACTGATTCAGAGAGGGTTGGGGCACCTTGCTGAGCTTGCCTCTGCCCGGGATAGCAGCGGGGTTAAATTTTCAGCTGCCCGCGAAAGAGACACGGCGGAGGAGGGTTCAGCTGCCCGAAAAGAGCGGTCGGGTGATTTACAGAGTGAAGTAGTGTGCAGCGATGCATGGGAGACGACCCTCCGTGCTCGTCTGTCTGGGGATGAGGAGAGTCAGAAGCGCCGCTCCCAACGCCCCTCTCAACCGCGCCGCCTGTCCCGCTTTCATGCACCTCCAGATGACCTCAAGGGTCAAGAGGGACGCACTCGGCGCCTCTTGTCCGTTTCTAGGGCGCGTTCAAAGAAACATGAGGGTCACGAGGGCCGAACCCGAAGCCGGTTGTCTGTAAAGGAGGGTCGCTCCAGTTCCAGTTCCGCACGCAATGCTAGCCGGAGTTTGGTTCGTCTTTCCGAGCCTGTTCAGCCTTCCGAGCCTGTGCAGCTTCCCGGGTCTGTCCAGCCTTCCGAGCCTCTGCAGGCTCGGCATATACTCGAGGCTCTCCGGAGCAACAAGACGAGTGTGGAGCGAGTGAGGGAGGGGATGAGGCGAGTGTGTGAGAGAGCGAGGGAGATAGAAAAGGAGCTGCTTCAATGGCCATTGCAGACAAGCAGCAGGGGCAGCAGCGGTGGCAGTGGCAGTAGTGGCATCAGCAGCACAGTGAAGATTGTGGGATCGCCAGCAGCATCGATTTTTTCGGCAGCATCTGGGGGAGGTGCTACCTGGCCCGAGTCCTGCTGGCCTATACCTCACGTTCCATTCTCCAGCCCCAGGGTAAGTTACCCTCTTCCCCATGTTCTCTCTGGTTGGCTTTTGAGAACTCTGGGTGGTTCGTGGTCAGATGCCCTCTGTTTCCTGCACCCTCTGGGTGGTTCGTGGTCAGATGCCCTCTGTTTCCTGCACCCTCTGGGTGGTTCGTGGTCTGCTCTGCTCTCTCTTGGCTGTTTTTCTGATTAAAGTTTTTTCTCCAATTGCCTAAGACCACGAATTTGCTTGTTACCGGATTTGAGGCGAGTGCTGGTGCTGCCACACGTGGGCAGCAGCCGTCTGTCAGTAGGGCGACAGCACCCCCTCTGGAGGCTTCCGGTCTTACTCACAGCTCCCAACCCCACCCATCCACCCACTTCCACCCATCCACACCCCTCAGATATTCACAAATCCGCGTTTCCTGGTCCTCGCATTCGCCATGGAGCAAACCAGCAACGCCAGAGCGCATCTATTAGAGGCGGCCAGGCTGGCACGGCTGACAGGGCGGGTGCTGGTGCTGCCCCACGTGGGTAGCAGCCGTCTCTCAGTGGGACGACAGCACCCCCTCTGCTCCTACTGGGACCTCTCCCGCCTCACTCACTCCTCTCACTCCACCCCTCACTCCTCCTCTGACTCCTCTCAAAACCATTCCTCCTCGTCCCCTCCCTCCTCCTCGCCCCTCCCATCGCACCTCACGGTGGAGTGGGTATCGCCTGATCTCTTCCTCCTCCTCGCCCGCTCCTCCCTCCAACCCAACCCTTCCGTGGGCTTCATGTGTGTTGAAACACCCTCCCTCAACCGGCCCTGCTTCGACTTTGGTAAGCCCTTCTCCTTCTCTCCTCGTCGCTCTCTACCTCTTCACTCCATGTGGAGTGGGTATCGCCTGATCTCTTCCTCCTCCTCGCCCGCTCCTCCCTTCCCCCCAACCCCTCTGTTGGCTTCATGTGTGTTGCAACTCCCTCCCTCAACCGACCCTCCTTCGACTTTGGTAAGCCTCTCTCCTTCTCTCTCCCCTTTCTCCTTCCCATCGCCCCTCCCATCGCACCTCCCGGTGGAGTGGGTATCGCCTGATCTCTTCCTCCTCCTCGCCCGCTCCTCCCTCCCCGCCACCCCTTCCGTTGGCTTCATGTTTGTTGAAACACCCTCCCTCAACCGCCCCTGCTTCGACTTTGGTAAGCGATTTCTCCTTTCCCTAGATTTGCCCCTTCAATCCTTCCCTCCCTCCCCGCCACCCCCTCTGTTGGCTTCATGTGTGTTGAAACTCCCTCCCTCAACCGGCCCTGCTTTGACTTTGGTAAGCCACTCTTCTCTCCCGTTTCTCCCTTGTCAGCTCTGGCTATTCCTATCCATCTCATCTCTCTCTATCTCGCTCTCAGTCTCTCCCCCCTCTCTCTCCCCGTTATCACAGGGGAGGTAGCATCTGGGTTGGGTGTCATCCTCACCTTCTTCCTCAGCTAGCTCTGGCTACTTCTATCCACCCTCATCCCTCCCTCTCCCTCTATCTCCCACTCTTCCCACCACGCAGGGGAGGGGAGGTGGCATCTGGGTTGGGTGCCATCCTCACATACTCCCTCGGCCAGCACTTACAAGTTCCCTGCCAACACGCTACTCCTCCTATCCCCACTCGGTTCCCTCTCTCTCCGCCCCAACCACCGCAGGGGAGGTAGCATCTGAGCTGGGTGCCATTCTCACACACTCCCTCGGCCAGCTGCCCACGCGTGCCAACACGCAGGTCATCACAGTCCGCAAAGCCTCCAGATTCCTCAAAGCCTTCCAAAAATGGTATGTCTTTCCAAAAGTGGTAAGTCATTCCAAAAGTAGTAAGCACTCCCTTTGCCTGCTGCGCACGCGTGCCATTGCCAACCCAGGTAAGCAAGGCCTTCCGAAAGTGGTAAGCTTCTCCAAAAATAGCCCGCAATGGTAGTCTCTCCCAAAAATCGCAAGTCCAACCTCACCCCACCACACCACACTCCACCTCACACCACCCCACTCCAATTCACTGTGTCAGGGAACACACAGACGTGGTGGTGTGGGTGAAAACGACCTACAAGAAAATGGCCATTCGCCCGCCCACCTCCGCCCTCATTAACCCCACCCCACCCTATCCCAACCTGGCCCATCCTGTTCCATCTCACTCCACCCCTTTCCACCGCACCAGGCAGCACACAGACGTGGTGGTGTGGGTGAAGACGACCTGCAAGAAGATGGCCATTCGCCCGTTCAACTCCGTCCTCAATTACCCCTCCCTACCCCACTCTGCCCCACCCAACCACACGCCACCCCTCTCCACCACTCCAGGCATGACACAGACGTGGTGGTCTGGGTGAAGACAACCTACAAGAAGATGGCCATTCGCCCGCCCACCTCCCTCAATAACCCATCCCACCCCACCCCCACTCCAACCCACCCTATCCCACTCCACCAAACCACACCCCACTCCACCCCTCTCCACCGCATCAGGGACCACACGGACGTGGTGGTGTGGGTGAAGACGACCTACAAGAAGATGGCCATTCGCCCGCCCACCTCCGTCCTCGCGCCCGTCCTGCTGCCCTACCACCCGCGCTGGCACTCCCTCGCTCGCTCCATTATTGCTGCTCTCACCTCACCTTCTCACCGCACCGCACTCCACCCTACCCCTCTCCACCGCTCCAGGCATGACACAGACGTGGTGGTGTGGGTGAAGACGACCTACAAGAAGATGGCCATTCGCCCGCCCACTTCCCTCAATAACCCCATCCCACCCCACCCCCACTCCAACCCACCCTATCCCACTCCACCAAACCACACCCCACTCCACCCCTCTCCACCGCATCAGGGACCACACGGACGTGGTGGTGTGGGTGAAGACGACCTACAAGAAGATGGCCATTCGCCCGCCCACCTCCGTCCTCGCGCCCGTCCTGCTGCCCTACCACCCGCGCTGGCACTCCCTCGCTACCTCCATCGCCGCTGCTCTCCCCCGCACGTTCATCGCACTGCATTTCCGATCTGAGTACATCGCATGGCTCGTGGTGAGTGGAGTGTACACCCATTCTTGGGAATATGTTATTGGTCCCACCTTGCACACTACCTCAATCGCCGCTGCTCTCCCCCGCCCCTTCATTGCGCTGCATATCCGATCAGAGTACGTCGCATGGCTCGTGGTAAGTGCACTGCATTCGCCCTTTGTGTAGTCGTTCCTCCATGGGGTCCCACCTCCCTCCTCGCGCCCGCCCTGCTGCCCTACCACTCGCGCTGGCACGCCGTCGCTCGCTCCATTGCTGCTGCTCTCCCCCGCCCATTCATCGCACTGCACTTCCGATCCTAGTATATCGCATGGCTCGTGGTGAGAATTATTCTTGTCTTGAAATGTCACTGGTTGCCTTTACCTTGCACGTCGTATTCACTTCGCTTGGCCCCCCCTTCCCCTCCCCTTGTCTGACAGGGAGGGAAGCTGCAGCATGAGCAGAGGATAGGCAAGCAGATGCACTGGTGTGTTGGCACAAGCAGGCCCCATAACCCACCTTCCCCCTCTTCGCTTTCTCTCTCCTCCTTCCCTCTCGGCGTCTCTCACAGGGAGGGAAGCTGCAGCAGGAGCAGAGGATAGGCAAGCAGATGCACTGGTGCGTGGCACAAACGACCTGTGGAAAGACTAGTTCACGCGCTTCAACCTTTCCTCCCTCTCTTCCCTGTGCTCTCCCGTCTATCCTTCCCTCTCTCTCTCTCACAGGGAGGGAAGCTGCAGCAGGAGCAGAAGATAGGCAAGCAGATGCACTAGTGTGTTGGCACAAGCAGGCCCCATAACCCACCCTCCCCCTCTTCGCTTTCTCTCTCCTCCTTCCCTCTCTCTCTCTCACAGGGAGGGAAGCTGCAGCAGGAGCAGAAGATAGGCAAGCAGATGCACTGGTGCGTGGCAGAGGCAGCAAGAACCGTGCACCAGGTGCAGCAGCAGCTCTCCCAGGGCATGGAGGGTACTTCAGCCAAGGGGAGAATTGAGGCGCCTCCAAAGGCAGAGGCAGCAAGAACCGTGCACCAGGTGCAGCAGCAGCTCTCCAAAGGAATGGAGAGTACGCCAGCCAAGGGAAAAAATGCCTCTAGTGGCTATCAAGTAGGGCTATCCAGTGATGGCGACTCACCTTCCCAGCAGCTCTCCAAGGGAATGGAGGGTACGCCAGCCAAGGGGAGAAATGCCTCCACTGGTGATGCACCTTCCCATCACTCCATATCAGGAGCGCCTGGTCAAGTGAGAGGAAACTCGTCAATGCACACTTCAGTGGGGATTATCCAGAGCAGCAGCAGTCCATCAGTGTTCATTAGCGCGGATATCGCCTTTGGGGCTGCTGCGGCCGCCGCTGCTCCTACTGCTTCTGCCGCTGCTGCTCCGGCTGCATCTGTCATCCCCAATACAAGCTTCTCCAGTAGCAAATCTGAGCAGAAAGCAGACGAGGAGTGGCCCGTGAGGTCTGAGTCGTGGGGGGTGATGGTGGAGAAGTACGGGCGGGAGCAGACCATCGACGCAGGGCACCGCGCGCTGCTACAGCTCAGGGCGCTTGTAGATTGTGACGGGGATGGCTATAAAGGGGATGGAGACCTAGGTGGTACCCATAACAACAGTAGCAGTGGAAGCAGCAGCAGAAGCAGTGGAAGCAGCAGCAGTAGCAGTGGAAGCAGCAGCAGTAGCAGAGGAAGCAGCAACAGTACTGATGGCAGTGCCAGCAGTAGCAGGGGGAATAGCAAAAGCAGTGGCTCAGGAGGCTTGACAGAATCAGCGGGCTATCGAGGCTTACCCAAGAGGAGTATCATGATCGATGAGATCGTTCCTTCGGTGAATAAACTCGATCCAGGTATGCTCCTTTTGGTGCACAACAGTATCTCTACGTCAGGGTTCTCGTTATCAGACCAATTTGGTCTGATGGTCTGAGTTGCAGACGTGATTTTTTGTATTCATCTGCTTCCTAAGACTCCGTGTTTTTTCTCATCTGATCAGTAAGACAAGCGTTTCAGGTTCGTATGATTTTCCAGACCATGTAGAATTCTTAATCTGAATATACAGATATCGAGTTCGGTTTCGTCTGAAAACGACATTTTGACCCACTTGGCCATATGCCTAGTCGGCCACAGAATAGAACCACAGGTACAGCCATTTGCTGCCCTGTAACTGCGGGGTATGCTGCTAGGAGTCTGTCGTGTGGCTGGCTGTCGGCGCCGACGCCAGCCACAGCCATGGCAACGTGTTGTCTCCTTGACTTCTGACACGATTTTTTTTTTCGTCTTATTAATCAGACTAGAAGAATGTTTTCATCTTATAATGCAGACCATGAAAATTTCGTCGTCCGAGCATAAGACAGGGAAAAAAAATTCCCGTATACTGTCAGACAGCCCCAAAACCTAGCGAGAGCCCTGCTCTACGTTTACTTATCCCTTGCAGATCATTATTTTCTAAAAAGGTTTCTTTCTCTACCAATGCAGGGATTGTGGGAATACTGGATAAGCTTGTTGCAGCACAAGCAGATATGCTTGTAGTTGGAGTTCGCTATTGTGGAGGAAGACGCGGATTTGAGGCGGATATCTTGGACCATCGGAAGCAATTTGGCAAGGGGGCAAAAAGCGTACACCGATGGGGAGAGAACGTACTGCAGCGTCGTCGAAGGAGGCTGCGTTTGCAGAAGGAAACTTTACGTGATACTTATGACGAAGAATAAGAAGGAATTGGTTCATGAGCAACACCTTGTTGCACATGCCTTTTTCAAATTACATATAACGTCATTTGGTTTGGGTGCTTTTCATTGTAAGCTATATGAAGGGTGATATTGTAGTGTCTAAGCGGGATCCACTTTCCCGCGTGCTTTCACCGTTATCATAGAACCGGAGAACATAAGTACTGGTTCATGCGACTCGGATTTATCGCATCCGCGAGGCTCAGCGAGTTGTCCCGAAATCGTAACTTGCCGTAAGATACTCGCCTTTCCATTACGGTTACTAGCGGAGCTGGAAAATCCCCCAAATTGGGAAGCTCGACCCGCTCGCGGAAAGCTCAACGATTGGCCACCTCGAGGCGCATTGCTACGCGAAAAATGCGAGGCGCAACGGCTCTACCATTTTGCGAATGCGTGAGACGAAAATGTCGAATTTCGGAATTTGCGGAGTTCTGGACGGGCCCTCAACACTCGGCATGAGTTTCGTCCGCCAGCTTGGAAGGCGTGCTGCTTTTCTTTATCAAACCCCACGGTTTTCAATCGTTTTGCTGCGTTTAAGAACGGTCGAATAGGTAACAGCTTCCAATCGTGCACAACCCTACTCAACACCACCACATGAAATCAGCCGTCGAATCGGGGCACCCCTAACGGCCCCGACTCCGTCTAAATCTGCCGACTCGGTCACTCGAGAATGATGGCGCTTTAAATGGAGGTACTGCACAGGAGCCCTCTACGATTGCCTCCCTCTTGATCATCGATTTCTAATCGTTGCTTCGATTGCCGCCCGACTGCTGTTGCGCTCATTGCAAGCTGCAAATCGTTAGTGCACGGAGGGAGGAATCCGCTCTAGGCTCTAGACTCCAGAGACAGCTTTAGTTACGACGTTAGAAGCTAGTCCCTCCGCATTTTCTCTTGGCTTCTACCGTGTTTCACGTCCGTGCGTTGACCAGTCGCAGTGTCTGAACCCCTCTTCCGTCTTACAAGCTAGTAACCGACACGATACTGGTTAGACTCACAGCGCCACCTGCTTGTTGACGCACCTCAGAAATCGCAAAAATCTTTTCGTAGAGGGCACTAATAACGAAGAGACTTTGTCTGAGCCTTCCGCTAGTCTTCTTGGTGTTCAGTTATTTTTTCAGGCGCCTGGAAAGCAACCTTACTTACAACCTTCCGATTTTCCTCCAGCGCGAAGAATGTATGGGATTCTTGATTCCACATCCAGGAGTGACAGATCAGCTCGGGTTCACAGAACAGCGCGAGCGTCAAGATCCATGTCGCGTCTCCTTTCCGCGCTTTCGATTCTCGCGCTTGTCATCGCTTCATCTGGAGCGTGGGCGGCCGCGACGTCCATTCCAGCCGCGTCGGCCCCTGCCGCTTCCCCTACTGGTGGAGCTCCCGCGTCGCGTCTTCGAGGAGGCGGCGCTGTGCCGAATCAAAACGCTCCATCGACTATATCAGCAAACAGCACCGTCAAACCTACCGGCTCCAAGCCTACCAGCCCCGAACCTACCGGCAACAAAACTAACGGCGGCAATTCCAGTGGAGCCAACCCCAAACCTACGGGCACCAAGCCTAACAGTGGCAGCCCCAGTCCCACCAAGTCTGCAGAAAAGGTCAACTCTACCGTCGATTCCACGAACAAGAAGAGTCCGGCTAAGCCGGCTGATAAGACGGCAGCGAAGACGGCGGCGAAGCCGGCGGGGGCCACGGCGCCGAGTGCGAAGAAGCCAGTGACGGTGCAGAGCAGTTCAATTGAGAGTCAGCGGCAACGAATGGTCGGTGCGCGTATCAGCGCGGCCGGGGAGGGGGGCTCCGCGTCGTGGCTGGTGCAAAACGGCGGCGCGACTTGCGACATCTCCGTCGGCACGTGAGTTACCACCAAGGCTGTTTCTTTTTTCGTGAAAACCTTACTCGCAATTTCAGGGATCTCTTGAAACGACCGAGCCGTGACTTTCGCTTGTCCTTGCATTCACGTGGCGCTCAGCCATATGCGCGTCCATCCCCGTGTATTAAATCTTAAATGCCTTCCCTTTTCTGCTCCTCCCTACCTCCCTCATCCCCGCCCGCCGCGTTTGTCGTATCTCAGGTGGATTCCCAGCAGCACGCGGCCCGCGTACGCGTCCACGTGTCCGTACATCTCGAGCAAGTTCAACTGCGTGCAGAACGGGCGGCCCGACGGTGGTTACCAGCATCTGGTTTGGCAGCCGCGAGACTGCAACATGACGCTGTGAGTGTTACACATCGCCCATTCGCATCACACCTTCATCACCCACTCATCCCTCGTAATGAGGTAAATTTCGAGCCGAATTCTAAGACGCCTCAGAAAACGGGCGGCCCGACGCTGGTTACCAGCACCAGATGTGGCAACCGCGCGATTGCAATGACGCTGTGAGTGTTACACATTGCATGCCCGCATGCGGTCCTTGGGTTGGCCTTCCCTTCTGCTCTCGCCCTCTTTCCACCCTCCTTCCGCACTCCTTTCGCGCACCTCCCGCCTCGCCGCTCCCCGCCGTTCCCCACTCCTCGTCGCGCTTGTGTACAGGAAGGACTGTCCTTCCCGCCTTTTCGCCACTCACGCTCTTCCCCCCTCTACCCGCCATCCCCTTTACCCTTTCCTCTGCAGCTTCTCCCCTCTGCATTTCGCGCTCATGTTTCAAGACAAGACGCTCGCGCTCGTGGGCGACTCGAACGCGGAGTACCTGTTCCAGTCGCTGCGCTGCCAGCTCAGCACGGGCCTCGAAACAGAGGTGCGTGATTATTGTGAGGCGGAGTAATCCGCTTCCCAGTATGGGAAAGCTATAGTATGCAGAAAATCTCTTCTAGTCGCTGCGCTGCCATTTCAGCACGGGCCTCGAAACTGAAACATTGAAATCGTACACCAACGGTGCTGCGATTCGAGACTATGTATCTAGGTGGTAATTGTGGCCGATGCTAATGCTATTGCTGAGCTGCCAGCTCAGCACGCGTCTCAAGGCTGAGCGAAAGGGGGCCGGCTCCAACGGTGCTGCTTCTCGTTTGTTCACTTGTTGATGCCCGAATTTTCAAAAGTGGTTTCAATATAGCTGATGTTTCATCTCCTTCCCTCTCCCAAATGCAGTCTGTGAACACGACAGCAGCAGGAGTGGAGGCGTTCGGACTGATCGGTCAAACACCCTCGCACTGCTCCTTGTTCATTCATCCTGCCTATTCTTCTCTTTTTTTTTCTCATCCCACATCCAGGCTGTGAACATGACAACAGCAGGAGCTGAGGCGTTTAGAGTGATCAGCTCCAACACCCTCGTGCTGCTCGTTGTTCACTCATCCTTCCTGTTCCACTCCCTCTTCTCACCCTTCTCCTTGTTACCTCTTCCAGAGTGTCAATACGACAACAGCAGGAGCTGAGGCGTTTAGAGTGATAAGCTCCAACACCCTCGTGCTTCTCGTTGACGCGCCCTTCCTGTCCTACGCTGCTCCTGCCGTTCCCGTAAGTACCAAAGCTTACTTAAGTGCTGACGTTCAGTTCTTTACCTCGCTCGTGAGTGGAAGCGTTTAGAGTGATAAGCTCCAACACACTCGTCCTTCTCGTTGACGCGCCCTTCCTGTCCTACGCTGCTCCTGCCGTTAAGTGCGAGTGCTATTCCTGCTTTTCAGCTCTCTTTTCAACCCTCCACCAACTCCTCACGTTTTTTCCTTCCTCCTCCTCTTTCCAATCGTGCCTATCATCCCTACTTCAGACCCAGCAATTCAAGTCCAGTGCATGGAACGTGCACCTAGACGTGCCTCACCCAACTCTCCGCCAAACCCTGCCAGACGCTTCACTTACTTCCCCCCTCCAAATCTCACAACAGACTCTTCAGTTCAAGTCCAGTGCATGGAACGTGCACCTGGACGTGCTTCACCCAACTCTCCGCCAAATCCTGCCAGACGCTCACGCCGTCATCTTCTCGTCTGGATCCTGGTTCATGCCGCCCGCCCGCACATACTACAAAAACGGCCGCCCGCTCGCCGCCCAGATCACCGGCCTGCAGGCGCACAGTGCCGTGCTCGGCGCTCTGTCGGACTATCTGGCTCAGCTTAGGTCGGGCGGCGGAGGTTTGGCTGACACTCAAGCAGCAGCAGGAGCAGCAGGAGGAGCAGCAGGAGGAGGGGTGAATGGCGCAGGAAAAGCAGGAGCGGGAGGAGCAGGAGGAGCGGGAGGAGGAAAAGCTGCAGCATCAGGAGGAGCAGGTGTGATCAGGAAGCAGTTATTGTCTGCTGCTGCTGCTGCTGGTGATTCTACCACCACTGGACTCACCACCAGCAGCAGTAGCAGCAGCAGCAGCAGTGGTCAGTACGCAGGAACCTTCCCACGCACCTTCTTCCTCTCGCTCCCCCCTGCCCACACCCCCAACACGTTCCGCTACCAAGACACCACCTGCGGGGTCTTCGCCGAGCCTCTCTCCGACCCAGACCAGGCCTACGCCGTCAGCCACAGCGCCGAAGCTGCGTGGACAGCCTCGGAACGAGCCGCGCTCGCAGGCTCGGGAATCCAGCTCCTGGACATTCTAGGCTCGGCGATGTACCGACCAGATGGACACGTGGCGACGTATGGTTCGAAGGGAGGAATGGGAGCCATGGATTGCAGTGGATGGTGCTTACCGGGAGTGCCAGACGCATGGGTGGATATGTTTTTCCATCTGTATGCGAGTCCGACGGGCATTCAGCAGCTGCTGTTGGGGCTGGGGAAGGTGGTTGGGGCTGGAGCGGTGGGGGATGTGTGCTGGCAGGTGCCGGGATCAGCACAAACCATCGCAGGGTATTACTAGGGGGAGTAACGGGGAGCAACACTGATGTAGCGGTGGGAGGGGAGTGCCAGACGCATGGGTGGATATGTTTTTCCATCTGTATGCGAGTCCCACGGGCATTCAGCAGCTGCTGCTGGGGCTGGCTAACCTGGTTGGAGCGGGCGCAGTGGGTGATGTGTGCTGGCAAGTGCCTGGATCGGCTCAGACCATCGCAGGGTATTACTAGGCAAGAGATGGGGCCATGGAACGAAGCGGATGATGTTGATGCCGGGAGTGCCAGATCAGCAGGGACTATCGCAGGGTACGGTAATACTGCTATCGGGAGAGTTGTGAGAGAATTCTCAAGAACGCCCATAATATGGGAACTGGGATGCTTATTCACGAGGGATATGTCTCAAAGCGTGGGGTGTATGCTTTAGCTGCCAGTGTAAGCTGGTGCGTGTGAAGGGGGTTCTAATGGGTAGAGGGCTTTAGCAGACGAGATAAGAGGGTGTAGGTAGGTGTAGATGGTTGTTCCTTTACAACCAGTGTTGGCTTGTGTTAGCTTACAATAGCTACAGGTGCTGGTGCAGGCGCGGGGTGCTGCGGAAGTTACAAGCGATTAGGATAACATAAATCTAATTTCCTGCTACAAGTTCCAGGCACCATGGTAATCAAAGACCTACATTACCGGTACCACAGATTTTCAGAATTTTCACTGTTAGTTACTGTGATCCACAGAACAATTTACAATTCACAGGAAACGAGACAACCAGTACATAGAAGAAAACAATCTGCACATGAACGCTAAACTAAACAAAAGCTTCAAAGGATGCAACCTGCATCAGTAATTGACATTCTACGCCAATAAAGGATACAGAACACAAAGCAGATGCCACCCATGGTGTCAATACGTGGTTGCATTGCAACATGTCAATACCCTTCCCCTACACTACACCCCAAAGTCCCTGCCATCACAGCACATCTTCCTGCATCACGCCCTTGCATGCCCTCATTAGTCTTCACTAGCATGCCACACCCTGATTGTCCCCCTCCTCTCACCACAATACAGAGTCCCATCCCTCCCCAAAGCCAACGCACACACCTCCTCTCCTCCCGACACCATTCCATCCTCAAATGCTGCCAAAAGCCGCTGCCCACGCCACGCAAAGGTAATCCCCCTGCCAGTGCTGTCACCCCCTCCCCAACCTTCAAACCCACCACCACCACTAGCACCACCATTCCCACCACTGCCAGTATACTTCCCACCTCCAGGGCAATAAACCGCCGAATCTGGGCCCACTACAAGACAATTTCTCGCCGCCCAATCCTGCCGCACGTCCACACACTTCCCACCGCTCCAAATCCTCACCTCGCCGTCGAGCGAGAGGGAATAGAGCGTGGGTCCAGCGGCAAAGTAGGGACTTGCACCACCGGCAGCACCACCAACAGTACCACCAGCGGTGCCACCAGCCTTGCCACTCCCACCACCACCACCACTGCTGCTGCCATTTTCCTCGCCGGAGAACAGAAGAGGAGGGCCAACAGCAAGAGAGATTACTTGTGCCTTGTGACCCCTGAGAGACGCAGCCACAGCACCACCCCTATACACACAGATAGGGTATTCCTGCCCCTGCTCCGCTCCTCCTCTGCTGCCCATGCTCCCGCCGCTCCCCCTGCTGCCCATGCCACCGCTGCCCTCCCTCAGAGGCTCGTGATTGGCCGTGAAGTAGATGGTTCCGTCGGGTGCGGTTACCACATCGGCATACCCGTGCCTGAAGGGGGAAGCGTTGGTGGTGTCGCCACCACCCCCGCCACCACCAGTGTGGTCCCTATCCCAGTCTCTATCCCAGTCCCTGCTTCCACTGCTTCTGCTGCCACCGCCGCCGCCACCGCTGCTGCCGCCACCACCGCCGCTGCTGCTGTTGGTGAGGGTTAAGTGAGAGGGGGTGCTTGTGCCGGCTCGTAACACACCCACTCGACGCAAAACACCCTTCTGCCCCTGCCCCCTCCCTTGCTGCTGCTGCTTCTGCTGCTCCTGGTGGTGTGCTGGTGTAACCCCCAACGAGGAAGCTTCCTCCACCACAGCCCACGCACTCACCTCCCCATCACTAAACGCCACCAGCAGCACCCCATCATGCCATGCCATGCGCAGCGGCAGTGACCCGAACTCAAACCCCCCCTCCACATCCCCACCCACTCCTCCTCTCCCCCTCTCTCCCCCCCTCTCTCCGCCTCGCCTGCACCCAGTGCACCCCACACACCTCCCATCCCTCCACATCCTGATTTTCCCATCCTCACTGCACGAGAACAGGGTGCCTGAAACGGGGTCTAGGACTATATCAAAGACTGCAGCAGCAGCATCTCTTCTCCCTCCACTCCCTTGCTCACCCGATCTATATTCACCCGACCAATACTCACCACTGTTGGCAGCACTGTCCCATCCCCCTCCTCCACCGGAGCACACAATCGTATCCAGCAAATGAGCCGAGATCTGATTCCGCCGCCACAGACGGATCGTGCCGTCCAGGCTGCCCGAGAAAATAATCTCGCCTCTCGGGCAGACGATAATTTTGGTCACGCGGTCCGTGTGTCCAGGAAGGCTGCCCACAAGAAACCCCCCCTGCCAAGGCTGCCTGGCTAAAGTCATCTGAGACTTTGCGAATGACCGAGAGGCGATTGAGTGTGGCGCAGGAAGCTTTTTAGAAGCAGCAGCAGCTTCAGGTGCCGCTGCTGCTGCTGCTGCTGCTGAGCCTGTTGGTGCTGTTCCTTTCGCAACACGCTCAGGCGCATTGGACGTCGGATCGGATTTCACCTGAGAAACCACCTGAGGTCCCACCTGAGATTTCACCTGGAGGCTTCTCACGGCTCCTGCAAGATCCGCCCCTCCTGCTGCAAGCAGCATCCGCGCTTTCTCCTGCACCTGTCCCTTCAACGCCCCCACCTCCTCAGTAAGCGCCTGAATCTCCCCCTGAAGGTCCGACACGAGGTGCTCGTACCCCACTATCAGCTTCTTGGCCTGAATTAGCTCGGCCCGAGAGGTGGTGCAACACTGCAGGGCAGTGAATGAGCAGGACATGTGCAAGAAGAAGGCAAACGAGGAGAGTGTGAATTTCCCCCTGAAGGTCCGCCACGAGGTGCTCGTACCCCACTATCAGCTCCTTGGCCCTTCTCCGATCGGCGCGAGCAGAGGGGCAACACTGTTAAGCAACGGATGTAAGAGCACTGGACGGAAACAAAACACGGAATCCTTGCAGTCTCAATAAAAACCTTTGCGGTAGGTCCAAATGCTTTTACCCCACTACCAGTCCCAGGCTCGCTGCAAGTCTGCTCAAACCGAGGAGCAACACCTTGTGTGCTGTGCTCACCTGGCAGTGAGTTGAATTTTTAAGGCGTCTAAAATATCAAATAGAGGAGCAACACCTTGTGTGCTGACCTGGCAGTGCCGGGGCTGTGTCTTGCACTGTAGCAAGTGCTGCTTCACGTCTAGCAACTCTCCCCTCCAATTACACCCATGTGTGTAGTTCACACACCGGACCTCCGTGCTGGCACGGAGGAGGATCAGGGCAAAAAAGAGGGCGGAAAATGACAGCTTAGAAGGGCAGTATGAGAAGACATGGCAGTGCGAGAGTAGATATGCGAGGAGAGAGGTGAGGACGGGACGACTGCAGAGAAATTGGGTGAAGAAGGGGGAGAAAAAGAAGGTAAGGGAAGGGGGAAGGTATACGGGGAGAGATAGTTAGCAGCTGACCTGCCAAGCTGGCGAAAAACGGAAAGAAAGAAAGAAAGAAGAAGAAGAAAAAAAACCTTCCCGGATAAAAACGGAAGAAGGAAGCTGGAAAAGGAACGGAGAGAAATATACAGCGGCTGACCTGCCAAGCTGGCGGAAGACGATAGGATTTGCTTCCCTTAAAGGGCGGAGATGATCTTGCACAGGCGACTTATCCTGTTGGTAGGGCGGATGGACGGCGGGAGGGATGGGTTGACGGGTAAAGGATGAATTGATGAGGGACGGATGGATGGATGGACGAACAGTTGCTTATGGAGCAACGTAGAATGTAGGAATACTTCTCTCGAGGAACAATTGACTGAACAGGGAACTGATTACAGAATGACAAGGAGAGGCAAGCCTCACTCACCATGGGGCACGTCACGCATTTCTTCTCAATGGCTTCATGCACACACGGCGAGCAGAACACATGTCCACATGCAGCCTGCAGGAGACACCACGTACAAAACACGGAAAGAGCGACGCATAACATGCTTGCAAATCATTAGCATCAAAGTGCGCAAGTAACAAAACATGATCAGGCGGCTTGTTATTAGTCCATGCGCAGCATTTCCTTTTTGTAGTCTAAAATAAAAAAGTAGTAAAAGATCTACTCCAGCCCCAGGCGTGCCACCTGGAGAGCGTCGGTGGGATCGACGAGGTCCGTGCAGTACACGCAGATGAGCTCCCTCAGCAGCCCTTCCAGCAGCTCGCTATGGACCACGCGCGCCGTCTCCACACCCATGTCGTGTGGAGCAGCTCGAAGCTGCAAGAATCAACTCGGAACAGCTTAGAGCAGTGCGGAAAAAGCACAGCGGACGAACGCGCCGGACGACCGCCCTTGGAGTCGGGGCAGCAGTAACCGCAGCACGCACTAGGTGCGAACGCGTCGAAAATTTGCTGAAAGACGCGCAGTTTCCGTGAATTAAACTCGGGAAGAACTTCCAGCACGCAACTGGGCAATGTGGGGCAGCGCGTGATGGCTGTGGTGAAGGCGGCGAGGGGCGGAGGTAGCTGCATGGGTGCTTGACGGCGATGGTCCAGTCTGGCTTTGTATCTTGGGGTCGTCAGCTGGCATGTACCAAGATTGCTACTCTAGGTTCAAATCTCATGTATCAACATGTTTTACAATACACCAAAGGTTGACAGTCTAGAATTACCCCACAATGAAAGCGTATCAGCTAAGCTACAGCTATCAATATTGTACTGAAGGTTTGATGGTACAAAAAAACGCGAGGTTGGTTGGTTGAGAGTCGTACGGTAGTCCATTTTTGCTCCCTTAATCCATGATGTCACCATCTTGAAGCATTTCACCTGTAATCATCCTCCAGGCTGCGGAAAGCAGCTGTGAGCTCTTCGCTCAGCTTCTGATACTTGGCCTCCAACACCGCCTTTCCATCTGCAGGGTCCTCAAACTTCTGGGACCTGCAATGAGAAGAACACACTTGTGAAGCCCGAAACTAGGTTTACTAGTAACTGCCTGAAGCCAGAAAAGCGTAACACATACACAATCTTGTAGATGAGGTCACCAAGCCTCTGCTTGATGACATTGAGAGTAATCTTCTGGCCCTCTGAACCTGCTGCCCTCTCCACAGCCTGAAGCAAGAACAAAGACAAGAGTCAGACATAGAAATCCACAGCTGACATAAGTGAAGCAAGACGCTTTGCTTTGTGATACATCCGGCAGCCAATCAAGAGAAAACATACCTGGGTTGCAAGCTGATAGAATAGGATGATGTTGCGAAGCATCCATACGGACTTGTAGAAAGGACAGAACTTGTCATGCCTGAAAACAAACCATATCGTAAATCCCATAAGAAGACATATACGAATGCCACTAGGAATGAACATAAGCTGGGAAAGTCAAGCAGCAAGGGGACATACGAGGAAAAGGCGTTCTGAGCCAGGTAGTCTTCACGCAGCAGACGAGCTGTCTCCAGAATGATCTTGTCACCTTCAGCAAGGGCATCCTTTCCGACAAGCTGTAACGCACAAACAAGGCCATAAGACCACTTTCTATGCCACAGAAAAAAAAGGCCCAACACGAACTGTATATTTGGACAGCAACAAGAGGCAAGAGCCTCACGAAACGAGTTGTAAGAGCAACTGAATGCATCAGAGTCTTACCTGCACAATCTCATTCAGGTCATCCTCACGTTGAAGAACCTCACGGGCCTTGGTACGAAGGGAAATGAAATCTGGCGATTCCACATCATAGAAGGACTCCAACGCCTGAAAGGAAACACACAAGCAACAGTCCCAGCGGACACGTGTTGTAAAAGCAAAGGTACACATTTAACCCGCTGGCAAACTGGGTGGGCAAGTGATAAACATCTGCTTACCCAACCTCAAGCTGACTCCGCACTTGAAACATGCAAGGCAACTTACATTGGTGTACTTGGAATAGGAAATGAGCCAGTTAACAGCAGGGAAATGCTTTCTTTGAGCGAGCTTCTTATCCAGACCCCAGAACACCTGTCCAGTTCAAACATTGCAAGAATAATTGGTTAACGGCCAAAAACACATGTACAGATAAGCCAAATGGAACCACCACTAACCTGGACGATACCGAGAGTAGCAGCTGTGACAGGATCCGAGAAATCACCACCAGGAGGAGACACGGCACCGACAATGGTGACACTTCCTGTGCGATCAGGGCTGCCAAGGCACTGAACCTTGCCAGCACGCTCATAGAAAGATGCCAGCCTGGCAGCCAGGTAGGCGGGGTAACCACTGTCAGCAGGCATTTCAGCCTGAGGCATAGGAAACAGAGGACATATCACAATTAGAAACCATTATTGGTTGATTGTTGCAGAAAGAAAACCTAAGATGTCCAACAAGTTGAACAGCTTGGTCCAACTTACAAGACGCCCAGAAATTTCACGAAGAGCTTCAGCCCATCGAGACGTGGAGTCAGCCATCATGGCCATGTTGTATCCCATGTCTCGGAAATACTCAGCAAGGGTAATACCTGTCAAGCAGTACAAAATAATATTGTTAGGACCTGTAGAACAAAACCACTTTAACCGTTTCACTGTTGAGAAACAAACTCGGAGGTCTTACCGGTGTAGATGGATGCCTCTCGAGCAGCCACAGGCATGTTAGATGTGTTAGCCACAAGGGTGGTACGCTTCATCACAGACTCTTCACGGCCATCAGGAAGTGTCATGGTAAGCTTCGGGAAGTCCATCAGCACCTGCAAGGAAGTCCAGCCAATCATTTCCTAGATACTATTCACAAGGGCAGAAAAAAGTGCACTAATTAGAAGACGCACTCACCTCAGCCATTTCATTTCCACGCTCTCCGCAACCAACGTAAATGACACCGTCGGCGTTCGAAAACTGCAGTGACAGTGAAGACCAAAATCAGGACATGGTTTTACATAGTAACACAGGACACAGGTATTTCATGATGTGCCTACTCACCTTGGAAAGCGCCTGACTAATGACAGTCTTTCCACAACCGAAAGCACCAGGGATAGCACAAGTACCACCAAGCACTGAGGGGAACAGGGCGTCCAAAATTCGCTGCCACAAGAAATAATACCGTAGTGATCTGTGAGCCCAGACATAGTTCAAGGTCTCACAACGAATTGTTGGAGTGCCATAAACACATACCTGGCCAGTTAAGAGAGGAGTGTCTGCTGGAAGTTTCCGTGCCACAGGACGTGGAGAACGGACGGGCCATGTCTGGAACGCATGGCAAGAGGTACATTAAAATGATAACTTTCCGTGGCAACAAGATATCGACATATTAAAAGAATGGCATCATACCTGAAGCATAGTGTACTGCTTTGTCTGCCCTTGGAACTCAAGTTCAAGGACTTTATCCTGCTCAGAAGGAGAAAAAGGTTCTCGTGATCCAACACTCCCATCAGCGAAAAAAGTATTAGCTGCGGGACTCATTATGCCATTCTATTACCTTCAAACTGTATTGACCAGGGGGTGCGACGTAAGTGACCTTCCCCATAGCTTTCGGAGGAGCACAGATCTTTTGTGTCATTAGGCTGTTTTCGATGACAGTCTGCATGGAAACAATGCAAGCAAATCAAATTACGGACCTTCACAGAAACGCAAGGAAAGAACGGGCCCGCAAACGATACATACCCCAAAAATGTCACCACCCGCAATGATATCTCCAACATCTGCAACCACGAAGCGGGAAAATGTCACTCGTCAATACTAACTTTGACAGGAGCAGCTCAATCACCGATCATCAAATTCGAACGAATCTTACTCAGAGCCCTGGGCTGGAACTCCCAAAGGATGTCCTTGTCAAGCGCCGGCACGGCAACACCACGCGGAATGTACACATTGCCAGATCTAAGGGCAATGGTTTTCAACGGCCGCTGCAAAAACGCAATACCCGGCTCGTTAGGACATAATGTACGGGTCTGACATGCTTTCACAACGGGGAAACTAGATAGTGATTTCACCTGGATACCGTCGAAAATGTTGCTGAGAATACCAGGGCCGAGCTCGACCGAAAGTGGCTGAAACAAGAAGACATGGTCCAGAAAGTTAAGAAAAACAACGACGTTTAAGGAGGAAAGGCGAATGCATGCCGAAAACAAGAATGCCATCTGACCTTGTGAGTTCGAAGCACCGGATCTCGAACAGTCAGACCAGATGTTTCCTCGTACACTGAAGGAGACCAGGAAAAAAGGATCGACTATTTTAGATCACCGACATGCTAACGGACACGCGACAGACTGCAGAATGAATGGAATGCATTGACAGGAAAAAATAACCTTGAATCGTTGCGGAGTCGCCCTCGAGACGAATGATCTCTCCAATAAGCCTATCATTTCCGACACGGACAAGCTCGTACATAGCAGCTCCTCCCATGTTATCTGCTATCACGACAGGCCCCGAGACCTGAAAGCGGACGACATCAGCCAGATCAGACCTCTACATATTTTTAAAAATCGTTCAGCGAAAAAAAAAATCGACGGATCTTCCGGACCTTCTTGATGTATCCATACTCGCTCTCCTTCTCAGCGTCCTCAAAGGTAGACATCCTAAGATCCGGCTAAAAGCAAAGCGAAAGCTAGAAGGAAGGCGAGTTTACGGCCACGCAATGGCTCCCTCCCAAGAGATCAAAGGATCACGGAGCAAGAGGAAAAGGACGGAATTTTTTGCAGAGCAGGGGCTCTGCCTTGTGTCGCAGGGGCTTGCAATTCCCTACCCTCGAAACAAAGGGCATCCCTCACCCCGCAGTGAAGGGAACGAAGGCACAAAGCCCTCGCTAGTGTGCCTCTGGCCAAGAGAACATGTGCTCTTTGTCACACATTTATTGATTGTTCATGACGTTGCACTTACGAAATGTCCAAAGTTCTAATGCGGTTGAAGTAAGGAAGACAATTGCACCGTAAGAATGGTTCTCTTTTTTGTGTGACTACGAAAGACAGTCTAGCTACTGCTTTGAAATTGTTAAAATTGAATGGAAACACAGCCAGCAGAGACCAACAGCCAACTTGAAATAGCACAAATTACACTCAGGTGAATGCCAAGGCAGAAGCTCCAGCACCCTAGCACACCGGTCCTGCTGCTGCTCCAAACTCCACATGACTTTGCACCATCTTACCCATTCCTCCTTAATACCCTCCCTTAAGATCGTTAACCACATCGTACGGAATCGGCGTCACCGTCTCCATAGTCGTGCCGGGCACAAGGAACCCTGGCCGGGGACCCAGGGGCTTCCTCTTGCCGCCCACCACCGCCGGAGCGGGCGGCTCCAGCGCCTTCACCGCCCGCTTCTTCCTGTCCTCTTCATGCAGCTTCGCCTTCTCCTCGTCCGACTTTTTCGGGCGCGCGTTGCGCTTCTCCAGAGCCTGCAGGTACTCGAGGGTCATGGGCGCAGGCTTCTTGTACTTCTTCTCCTTGGCGGCGCCGCCGGCGGCCTTGCGGGCCTCGGCGTTGGCTGCCTTGTGCTCCTCGTTGGCCTTCACCCGCGCCTTGAAGTCCACGTTGCAGCGGGAGGGCGTCAGGTGCTCAATGCGCACGTGAAGGCGCTTGCGCACAATGCGGGTGTTCACCTGCAGGAGGGGATATATAACACGATAAACCAGGGGCATTTAGGTACAGGAGGGAATGCTGCAGTGTGACGGGGCCAGGAGCTCGATTGAGCACGTGAAGGGACTTGCGCACTATTCGGCTGTTACACCTGCTGGAGACGCAGAAGGAGGGGAGTGGGTGGAAGGAGACATGAGAGCACGGTGATTTTTGAGTGAATTCAAGATTCACCTTGCTTGCGCACAATGTGGGTACTCACCTGCACGCGGTAAGGGGGGGAAGGTGGTAAGAGGCTTGGGAGCGGGGATTAGGGTTAGATACCAAAGTGGAGTGGAGCACGAACACAGTGCAGCTATCATCGCCAGTGAGCACAACGTACAATGCAGGTCCTCTTCTAATGCATCTGGTGAAGGACAGGGAAATGAGGGGAAGAGGTGGGGGAAGGAGGGAGAGCTGGGGGACGGGGAAATAAGTGTTGGAAGAAGGGGAGGGAAAGGGAGCATGTGGTACGGAAGGGGAGGGAGGATGTGGTATGGAAAAAACAGTTAGAATCACTCTGATGATGAAGAAAGTACGTACATTTGCTGCAAAACACCCACGGAAACAAACCTCTAGGTTTCGTTAGCCCGACTCCGCCTGCCCCCAGCATTAGAATCGTGAGCGCAAAACACGCCCGTGTCACGACTCGTATGCAACGGAGCAACACGGAGCCCTGGTGTAACATGAAGCCTTCGAGCGACCCCTAGCGGAATCTATTTCTTGAGAATTTTCAAAGAACAGATTCAGCCTAAAAGCATCCGTCTCACGACTCGTATGCAACAGAGCATCACGGAGTCCTGGTGAAGGCGCTGGGGCCGCCCGCTCACCATGAAACCTTCGAGCGACCCCTAGCGGCCCAATTTCCCATCTCTATGCAACGCTGCTCCAGGTTCTGAATTCCGATCATTTACGCTCACCATGCTCTAGTTCATTCGGCCTGTGCCGCACTGCACGCTAGCAGCCCAATAGATTCCCCGCGCTTGCTATGGCTCAGTCTCACAGCCTACATCCGTACAACCCCCGGTAAGGCCCATACAGCATATAACCTTCCATCCTGTAACGGCCCGTTTCTCACCACCCGTTCGAAACTCTTCATGCACACCCGCCTCCCCTTTCCCTTCCCACCCCACGCTCCCCACGTCCTTACCCCCAGCCATCGGCAACAACGCACGCTTTCGTTCAGTAACGCTGTCCTCGAGGCCCGCAGTCCCCGCAGTCCCCCAGCCCCGCAGTCCCCCAGCCCCACAGTCCCCCAGCCCCACAGTCCCCCAGCCCCACAATCCCCCAGCCCCACAATCCCCCAGCCCCACAATCCCCCAGCCCCACAATCCCCCAGCCCCGCAGTCTCTCAACCCCGTGTTCCCCAGCCCCACAACCACCAGTCCTCCAGCACCCCGGTACCTCAGTCCCCTACTCCCCCAGCTCCGCAATCTCGCAGTCTCGCATCTCCCAGCCTCCGTAATCTCACAGTGAAGGAATGCTTCGCTTGCAGAGGCCTCGAAACGAGAGAATGACCTAAAGCGTGAGTCATGAGGAGCCATCGTTCTCTAAGAATGTCTTAACAACCTCCTCGGCGTCAGGATCCTTGACGCACTATCACTGAACCTGAGCTCCAAACAACGCGACTGGACTTGAGCTCCAGACAACGCGACGACATCCACCTATCTCCATAAACTGATTATACCCTAAATCCGAGCTTAACCTGTAGATAAAGAACTAGCACAAACGCGCTCGTGCTGTGCATAAGTTCTAAAGAAGAGAGAAGAACTTGCTCGTTTTCGCATGTTAATCTCCGCCTCAACTAGCCTCTACTTGTGTAAAGACTAGCCGAATACGGTAAGAATCCGCCGATCATTCCCCAGCGGAATCTGTTCAGAGAGCTACTTGCTAGATTGTCGCCAGTGCGACGTTCGCGCGCGCTAAGACGTTGCAGTGCTGATTCCGAGTGCTTGCCGACTTTAATGTCCTAAGTCACGCCCAGCTTGCGGCCGACGATGTTTATCCCGATTCTCAGCCCCAAACGAACGCGGTCCAGTTTCTCCTGTTCGCACGAGTCAGTCCAGCGGGGTTCGAATAAGAATGAAGTTTTGAGGCGCCTCCAAACCCGACAATGTTTATCCCGATTCTCAGCCCCAAACGATCGCGGTCCAGCTTCTCCTGTTCGCACGAGTCAGTCCAGCCGGTTCGAACCGGAATGAGCCGATGCAATCCTACGGACTTGCTTGTTGACCTCCACGCCAAGAGCGCGCTTTGTCAGGTTTCACACAAGCCCGACCGTTTTTGTTGGAACTAAAAAGCCACGATCTCAAAGGTTCTGAGACGTCTTGAATCCCACGGACCTGCTTGTTGACTTCCACGCCAAGAGCGCGCTTGGTGACGTTCCAGACACGACCGGTCTTTCCCTGGTAGAACTTGAACGGCATGCCCTTCTGTACGGCGGAGTTGACCTTAATGTCGACCAGGTCGCCGAGCTTGTACGTACGCAGGTACGTCGAAACGGGGATGTAACCATGCTTGCGAAACCCGCGCGAAAACATGTCGCGGGTTCGCGAGCGCAATCCATGGCCCTTCATTTTGGGATTTTTGGAATGGGAACCCTAGCCTGTGTTAGATGCCGCTGTTGCTGCTGCTGCTGTGCCTGATTCTGTGGCACTCTGCTGCTGCTGTGACGCAGGGAGGAGCGTCCCAAGGGGAAAGGGAGAGACTGAGAGGAGGAAGAGGAAGAAGAATGGTTGGGAGGTGAAGGGGACATGGAGGCACGGCAGGACGGGAGCAGGGAGCACGGGAGCAGTGGGGCAGTGGAGCACAGGAAGGGCGCGGGGAGGCGGAAAGCAGGAGAAGATGGAGGGCGCAATCTGGAAGAGGCGGAAAAAGGGGAACTGGCAGTACAAGGGAAAATGGCGGGCGATGAATGGCGGAATGATGGCGGGGTTGCTTGCAAGGGCATATCGGGGGACTTGGAACGGAAGCGGAAGGAGTGAAGTGGGGTGCGGGGCACAGTGGTGGGGTACAGAAGTGTATAGGATTCTCAAATTCTGTTAGGAAGAAGAACGCAAGTGTGCTGTGGTGGTGCGCCACAAGTTTGCGCTTATAATTTCGAGTTAAACTTGTTATTTTTAGTAAAACAGAGTAAACGGCCAGTGTACAAGTCACACGCCTGATGTGCTTCGATACTGTCGTGCGACCCCTCGTCAAGTGCCCCATCCCTGCCCTTGCCCCTGCGATTGGTGTAGATTATTCGCGACCAATTGCGACAGCTTAGCAGCGATCCATCCTCGTGCGAAACAAATGCTGTGAGTGGGTTTGATGTCCCAACCCAACTCGACTCGACAAAGACAACTCACCGGTAAACACGCGCTGAGCATCAAGGTCACCAAATAAGCAGGGGCTCGCTGTTAAAACTGGGTTCAATGCGTTTCTATAGGGTGAGAAGAGCATAAGTGGGGTTTCGTCGGGCTTGGGTGTGTGTTGACCCCCTCAGGAGAGTCAGGAGAGGCAACTTGTTCTGCCTTCGCTTCGCCATGGGATTCTGTCTGCAATGCAATGCAACCCCATTTCCCGCGAGTCGACGAATACTTCCCCTTCACAGAAATCGATCTCCGCGCCACAATTTTCACGGGAGCAAGCAGTCAAACTCAACAGATTCGTTGCGGTGTGACGCTGCTCTCCTGAAAAGAGAAGCCCTTCCCAATGATGGCTTTCGCTGCTTCATCATATCACGCGAGCAACGCAATTTCTGGAACAGTTAGCCAAGCAAAAACTGTTTCACGTCTTTCAAGCTGCTCAATACCGAGTCTAAGCAACATAAACACGTTACTTTCGAAGTCAAACAGGTCACGATTCGCGGGCTGCCGACATTTCGCGGCGTCCGCGCAAAGAAATGGAGCTTCACTCGTCCAGGACTCGAGTCCTCGTTCGGCCTATCGAGGTCGCAGCTGCTCTGCGTCGCGTGATGGCGTGAAAGCAGCGGCTGCGAGTCTGGATGGTCTGACGACAGCGACGGCGACGACGACGGCGACGGCGACGACGACGGCGACGGCGACGGACGAGAAACCCGCTGAGGAGGAGCTGTTTGATTGGGACAAAGCCTGGTACCCAGTAGGTACGTGAATGATATGTTTTTACAGCGACCGCGTCATGAATTAAGCTCGGACTATCGTTTGATTGCAGGTAAAATCGTCTGACACTGGCCTTAAGAAATCTGTGGCGGAAAATCTCAAGGGATACTTTGGGATATGGATCCATACATCCGGACATTTATTGCAAAGTATCCTACAGTATCCCTTGAGCATATATCCGGGCATGTATTGCAACATCTTCATCCCAGCGCCACGTTTAGGATGTTCGAACAACAATCATTACACACTCAATGGATTCGTGAGAAACAGTTTCGCTGTTAGATGTTCTTTGACATATGTGCGTTCGCTGCGTAAAAATGAAGTACGCCTTGCGATTTTTCAAAATCTCTGACCCCTGCAACAAAAAGATCCTTCAAATTTTTGTTTCCGTGAACAGAATTTTCATCGCGGTGGACATTTTCTTCATCCATTCCTTGTATCCTCGAATCTCTTTTTCCCCTATCACCGCAACACAGTTCACCCCTTGTTTCGAAAATTGTTCATTACATTTCCACCTTCATTTTACTTCCTCCGCCCTCCCCGACCCTCATCTCATTCCTATCACTCCAAGTGTTGAGCACCATTCTTCTCCCCCTCACCCCGTTCCCCCGCTCCCTTTCTCCTCCACCCTCCCACCCCACAACCCCCCCTCCAACCCCACCTCCACCCCCAACCCCACCCCCACCCCCACCCCCACCCCCGCCGCCTCCTCAATTGCACCTGCCAGCACTCACCAAGACTCTGAATAAGCGCGTTCCCGAGGCTGTGACTATTCTCGGCCGCCCATTGGTCATCTGGTTCGATCAGGTGTCCGACCAATGGCGGGTCTTCCATGACCTCTGCCCTCACAGGTACTCTCAAACAATAGCCTTCCTTCCTCGTTAGTGCTCCTACCACAGGTCGACGTTCTGTTGCTATCAGCTTCTCTCCTTTCCCTTCTCTTTGTTCTCAATTTTCTTTTTCCTTCGTCCTGCCTTGCCACTTCTCCATCCCCCTCAAGGCTAGCCCCACTATCAGAAGGTCGGATCCACGAGTCAGGCCAGCTGCAGTGCTCCTACCACGGATGGACGTTCGCAGGAGAAGGATCTTGCGGGTTCATTCCTCAGGCTCCCACGGACGGACCAGCAGTGAGTGCTTTTCTCTCTCTCTTTCTCTCTTAAGGAGTAATTTTGTTGAATTTAGGAGAAAGCTCATGCCACTTCAGTCCTCAGGCTTCCATGGACAGAAAGACCATCGGTAATTGAGTTCTTATTCAAATCTCTTAACATTCTGTGGATTTATGAGAATGCTTTCTGGTGTGCATTCGCAAGCTCCCATGGATGGGCTAGTGGTGAGTGAGGAATGTGAGCGAGTGAGAGAGCTGTGAGTGGGATACGCGCGTGAGGGAGAGTTTTCTTATGCGTCTTTGAACTACCCCTGTAGAATCAGAAAAAGGCTTGTGCGCAGTTATACCTACGGATGGGCTAGTGGTGAGTGGATACATGATTGACGTGGTTGACCCTAAACACGACTCATGATTTTCAAAAGAGTCATCCAAATTTTGTGTGTTGATAATAAGTAATATGAATGAGACTTCTTGCATTTTGCACAGGGAGCTAAAGCGCCAGAACGAAAATGAGACACCAACAATCAATTGCTCGTGTTTGCTGTTTTAGTGTTCATGACTATGCTGTTCGTGACTTGTTGTGCACATGAAACATATCCCATACAGAGATAGCATGCGCACTCGTGTTCTGCAATCAGTCGTGGCTACCATCAGCACGATCGCCAAACACGTTTGACTGCAGAACATGTGTGAGCTTGCTGTCTCTGTATGGGATGTCTTTCATGTACACAACAAGCTACAAACAGCAAAGCCATGAACCTCAAACAAAAAAACAAACAAACATGAACTCCCAAACCTTCTGAAACCCCATCTTCCATTACCCGTGCCCTCTACTTTTCCTCCCCTCCCACTCCCTTCGCCCACCCTCCTGCCCCCGCCTTTCCCCCCTCCTCCCCTGCGGTCAGGTGAGCGCGTCCCCTCGTGCGTGTGCGCGTGTGTACCCCAGTCGGATGCATGAAGGCATCATTTGGTTCTGGCCGGACTGCTCCGCCTCCGCTGCTGCTGAAGCGGCTGCTGCCCCGCCTCCCCCAACCCTCCCTGAGTTTGGCGATCCGAGCTTTCGATACGACACGGGCATGGCAGACCTTGAATACGGGTGAGCTGCTTTTGCGGGACTGGGGTGTTGACACCACTAAACTTCGAATTCTATGGTGCTTTTCGGGGTGTTGACCTCCCTGAGTTGGACGATTCGATTTTGTGATACATACGATACGGGCATGGCGGACCTTGAATACAGGTGAGCTGGTTCGTTTGCAAGACTTTTGGTGCGTGTGAGGCGCCTCAAGACCCCACCTTTCGATACAATACAGGCATGGCGGACCTTCAGTATGGGTGAGTGAGCTGGCTTGCAATACTTTGAGGCACCTCAAAAGAAAGGCGTGTGAGACAACCTCAGTAGCTGCCTCTCCTCTCTCGACCCTCCCTGAGTTTGACTACCCGGCCTTCCGATACTGGCGGTGCCCCTGTGAGCGTCCCCTTCTCCTTCCCGTCCCCAATCCCGTTCCCACCCCCGCCCCCACCCCCGCCCCCACCCCCGCCCCCACCCCCGCCCCCACCCCCCCCCCCCCCACCCCAGCTCCCAATCCCAACCCCGCTCCAACCCCCGCCCCCAACCCCGCCCTCACCCCCCCCCCCACCCCCGCTCCCACCCCCGCCCCCACCCCTCCCCACCTTTCCCCACCCTTCCCCACCCTTTCCCACAGCTACGAGATGCTGATGGAGAATCTGCTGGATCCAGCGCATGTGCCCTTCGCCCATCACAAGTACCAGGTGGGTGACATAGGAGAGATAACCCACGTTAGCGTACGGAATCATCCATACCTGTATAATGCATTCTGAAGATACACGTCACCTGTCTACCTGGACCCACCCAGCATACGTGTTGTGTTTGCCTATTGCCAGTCTGCCTGTTTGGCGTCCATGGTGGTAACCAGCATCACCCCACGGGGCACTGAGGGAACAAATCTTCTATCCTCCTCACCAAACACCCGAATACCTCCCGCAGGGTGACCGCAACCAGGCGAGGCCACTGCCGTCCATGGTGGTAACCAGCATCACCACACGGCGCACTGAGGGAACGAGCCTTGTATCCCTCTCACACCTCTCTTCCCTCTACTCCTTCCCACATTCCTACATTTCCATCCGTTGCAGGGTGATCGCAACCAGGCGAGGCCACTGCCATCAATGGTGGTAACCAGCATCAACGCACGGGGCATTGAGGGAACGAGCTTTTCGGACGGCCCAGCTGCTGTGGTCCCCCCCTGCACGCTCATTCAGAAGCTCTTTATTGGGGAAGAAGTGGTGAGCTCTACTCTTTATTGTTAGCAAATACTTACTGCCACACCACATACTAGTTACAAGCTCTCCGGGCTCTCTCGTTACATGCTATGGTGGCACCCTGCATGCAAATTCAGAAACTCCTCACTAGGGGGAAAGGTGTAAGCTCCCTTCAAAACTAGCAGCCTCTCATCCTTCCTCGTCTCACTCTCCCGGAATTTCCCTCATTCTCCGAACCCCCCATCATCTTCTCTCTCTTTCCCTCACGACACCCTATCCTGAGCAGCCAGAGGGGTCGGGCAAGAAGCAAAAGACAGTGATTCTCTTCTTCCACTGTATTCCCCGCATGCCGGGGCAAAGCCGCCTCATCTGGTTCTTCCTCAACAATGTTCTCCCCCCTTGGGTGCCCATGCCTCCCGAGTGGTTTGTGCACTTCACTCGGATGAAAGTGCTCGACACCGACCACGTGTTACTGCACCTCACGGTACGTCTCTCCACGGCACCACCTTATTGCGCTCGTGGGTGCTGCTGCGTCCCGAGTGGTTTGTGCACTTCACTCGGATGAAAGTGCTCGACACCGACCACGTGTTACTGCACCTCACGGTACGTCTCTCCACGGCACCACCTTATTGCGCTCGTGGGTGCTGCTGCGTCCCGAGTGGTTTGTGCACTTCACTCGGATGAAAGTGCTCGACACCGACCACGTGTTACTGCACCTCACGGTACGTCTCTCCACGGCACCACCTTATTGCGCTCGTGGGTGCTGCTGCGTCCCGAGTGGTTTGTGCACTTCACTCGGATGAAAGTGCTCGACACCGACCATGTGTTACTGCACCTCACGGTATGCTGCCCTTTGTGCCTCATTCACTATAACCCATGGGGTTGTGGGTTCCCCCTCCCCTCCCCCGGAGTGGTTCATGCACCTGACTCGCATGAAAGTGCTAGACACTGACCACCCGTTGCTGCATCTCACGGTAGGTCTAGTGGAATACGCGATGCATTTGATGATATTTCCCTTGGTATGATTCTCTGTAGCCTCTATCACACTACATGATTGCTGCCGATGGGTTTGTAAGCGCCTCCCTCACCGCTGCCCCTCGGGTGGTTTGTGCACCTGACTGGCATGAAAGTGCTCGGCCTTACGCTCCTGGCATCTCTCTCACATTTCGCTATGTCGCTATGTCTATTTCTCTCTGTCTGTCCCTACAGGAGCGGAGACTGAAGGAGGAGGGAGGCGCAGTGCAGGGAATAAAGAGCTACTACACTCCCACATCTGCCGACTCATTTGTCTCGGCCTTCCACCCTGCACACCTCTGTCAGTGTCTTACTCCACTCCCTTCCTCCAACCCCTTCCTCAAATGCAGGAGAGGCGGTTGGAGGAGGAGGGAGGGGCGGTGCAGGGAATAAAGAGCTACTACACTCCCACATCGGCCGACTCGTTCGTCTCGGCGTATCGCTCCTGGCTGACCAGGTTTGCGGGCAGCAAAGCCCGCTTTCCTGCCTACGTGGATCCGAAGCTGCCTCCTGCCAAGTCCCGACAGGAGATTCTTGACAGGTGAGTTTCGATGACAGGTTGAGATTCTTGACAGGTAATAATGCTTTGATTGATATGCATATCTCGAGGGGGGTGCCTGAGCGGGTGTAGTGCCTGCTTTCCCACTTATGTGGATGCGCGTTTTTTTAACCCCCTTACTCCCCTACACCACCCTGCAGGCAGCTCCACGTGCGGCTGTGCCCCGACTGCCAGCGAGTGCAGCGGTGGGGTTTCGAGGCACCTCAAAAGTTAAATCTCCCCCCATCCCTCTTCCTGCCCTCCCCTCCCTCACCACCCGCAGGCAACGTTTCCGGTGCGGCTGTGCCCCGACTGCCAGCGGGTGCAGCGCTGGTCTGAGCGCCTCCGCATCGCCCTCTGGGCCGCCGCCCTCCTCCTCCTTGCTGCCACTGCCCTGCTTCCCCTCGCCCCACCCGCCTTCTTAGTCCCCCCCCCCTTCTCCGTCTTCCCTCTTGGCATACTATAGAACTCAGGGATCTGTTATTCATTCCCCATTCCCACCCCTCCCCTCAACCCCCCCACCTACTCCCCTACAGGCAGCGCTTCCACGTGCGGCTGTGCCCCGACTGCCAGCGGGTGCAGCGCTGGTCTGATCGCCTCCGCATCGCCCTCTGGGCCGCCTCCCTCCTCCTCCTTGCCGCCACCGCCCTGCTTCCCCTCGCCCCTCCTGCTGTTCGGCAAGCTGCGGGCCCCACGGGTGCTGTTTTTGCAGCGGCGGCTGCGGTGGTGTGTGCTGCTGCTGCGCACTGGTTGAAGGGGTTCATTGAGAGGAATTATGTGTATGAAGACTTTGTTCATGCGCTCTGGTACCCTGCGAAGAAATAAACCCAAATTACTGGTAAGTCATAGGCTTCAAGATTGCATTGGTTGACAGCATGGGTGCTTGCCTTTCGGGACCGCTGCCCTCCTGCTTGCCGCCACCGCCCTGCATCCCCTCGCCCCACCTGCTGTTCAGCAAGCTGCAGGCCCCACGGGTGCTGTTTTTGCAGCGGTGGCTGCGGTGGTGTGTGCTGCTGCTGCGCTCTGGCTGGGGTTCATCGAGAGGAATTATGTGTATGAAGACTTTGTACACGCACTGTGGTACTCTGCAAAGAAGTGAACCCACGAGTAGGTAGTGTCCGCAATGATGGATAGTATGATATGACTTTGAGATGGCCATTGATCGCTTCATAGGAATAAGAACTGGGAGGGGACTCTTATCTTCATGTTATGATAGTTGTGGGGAGGATTGGGGAAAAGAAACAGGCGGATGTGTAGTCCTCATCATAGGCTATTTTGTAAAAATATACCCTGTCACGATTGCTTAAATCAATATGTAAGAATTTGTATGCATATTGGACTAATTACGGTAAAGCAAATGTGATAACGGTAAGTTTAGTCGTGATCATGTGTTCAATTCGCATACTGTAAGTTCTACGTAAAGCAATAGCGGAGTACCAGCCCGAACCTTCAAAAGCCCACTCCCCAGAAATTGCCGTTCCTTCTCTCAGACGGACGTGCTTACGTCCTGAAGTACTTCCATAATCTAGGCCACGTGCCTAGCTAGTTACCTGGTAGGTCATTAGGATCACACTCTTACCTCGCGCTTCCCCTTTTCTTCGTGTGGAACGCGTATCTTGCTCTTCGTAGCAAGCGAGAGTTGTCGTTCGTCCGTAGCGTCACTCCAGGAAGATGCCTCCTAAGTCGAAGAAGGAGGCTCCAGTCGAGAGGCCGATCCTCGGTAGATTCTCCTCGCATCTTAAGATCGGTATTGTGAGTCTCTCGCCATGACTTCTGCTTGCTTTCGTGATTCTTCGTATAGCAATCTCTTAAGTTGGTTATTGTGCGTGTCCCTCCTCATCCACCTCGGGTTTCTCGGTCTCCTTATCGCCATGACGACCGTCGTACGAGTCTTCGATATCCGGATTCACGATTTCTGCTTTCCGACCCTGCCGAATCTGACAACTCCGTGATATCGCATTTTCTTCGGCTTTATCTTCCGAGTTTGGCAGCACCCTAACTCTGGTTAGACTCCGGTAGTAAAGTTCCCTTTCACCTGGATTCCGTGTACACCTTGACTCGTAGAGGGGAATCAGGATCCCTCAAACTGGATTTCTATTTGACGGACGCAGATGCTAACCTCTTCGTATACCTTCTTGATTCTTTTTCTCCCTAACATTTCTCGTTCCTCTTCCTCCTACGTCAGGTCGGTCTACCCAATGTCGGCAAGTCTCCATTCAACACGCTCACCAAGCTCTCCATTCCCGCTAAGAACGTTTCCTTTTGCACCATTGACCCCAACCACCTTCTTTTTTTTTAATCTCAGGTCGGTCTACCCAATGTCGGCAAGTCAACGCTCTTCAACACGCTCACCAAGCTCTCCATCCCCGCCATCCCCGCTAAGAGCTTCCCCATTTTCGCCACAACCCCCTGACCCCTCATTCAGGTCGGTCTACCCAATGTCGGCAAGTCAACGCTCTTCAACACGCTCACGAAGCTCTCCATCCCCGCTGAGAACTTCCCCTTTTGCACCATCAACCCCAACGAGGCTCGCGTCAACGTGCCTGACGACCGCTTCGACTGGCTCTGCCAGCTCTTCAAGCCCAAGAGCGAGGTGAGCCGAACCGAGGATAATACAGATCCCCGGCCTTAGTCCATCATTCGCCTTTCGACTGGCTCTGCCAGCTGTTCCAGCCCAAGAGCGAGGTGAACATAGTTACTACAGATCTCGGCCTTAGTCCTTTCAGTCACCTTTTGACTGGCTCTGCCAGCTGTTCCAGCCCAAGAGCGAGGTGAACATAGTTACTACAGATCTCGGCCTTAGTCCTTTCAGTCACCTTTTGACTGGCTCTGCCAGCTGTTCCAGCCCAAGAGCGAGGTGAACATAGTTACTACAGATCTCGGCCTTAGTCCTTTCAGTCACCTTTTGACTGGCTCTGCCAGCTGTTCCAGCCCAAGAGCGAGGTGAACATAGTTACTACAGATCTCGGCCTTAGTCCTTTCAGTCACCTTTTGACTGGCTCTGCCAGCTGTTCCAGCCCAAGAGCGAGGTGAACATAGTTACTACAGATCTCGGCCTTAGTCCTTTCAGTCACCTTTTGACTGGCTCTGCCAGCTGTTCCAGCCCAAGAGCGAGGTGAACATAGTTACTACAGATCTCGGCCTTAGTCCTTTCAGTCACCTTTTGACTGGCTCTGCCAGCTGTTCCAACCCAAAAGCGAGGTGGGCCAAACCGGTACTACAGATTCCGGCCTTGGTCCATCATTCAGTCACCTTCGACCGGCTCTGCCAGCTGTTCAAGCCCAAGAGTGAGTTGAGCAAAACACTTCGTCTCTCTTAACAGGTTCCACTTGTTTCTTCGGTTCACCTCTCTTTCCATCTCTCCTTTCGCATTCGCTCTCCCCTCTCCCAGGTCACCACCAGCACTATCACCTGTCTTATTTTGTTCACCTCCCTCCCTTCTTCCAGGTCTCCGCCTTCCTCGAGGTGAACGACATTGCAGCACTTCCACTTGCCCTTTTCCCTTTTAATCATCCCTTTCTCTTCCCTCTCTCCCAGGTCTCCGCCTTCCTCGAGGTGAACGACATTGCAGGGCTGGTGCGTGGAGCCAACGAAGGGGAGGGATTGGGCAACGCCTTTCTCTCGCACATCCGGGCTGTTGATGGCATCTTCCACGTCTGCCGTGAGTGCTACACCTCCCAGCCTTTCTTAACTGCACCCAGCCCCTCCCAACCGCACCCAGCCTCTCCCAGCGTTTTCCAGCCGTTGATTAGATATAGTCCCCCTCTCACACATTCGACCCGTTGATGGCATTTTTTACGTGTGCCGTGACGTGAGTGCCAAACCTCCTAACCTCTCCCAACCGCACCCAGCCTTTCCCAGTCTTCCCCAGCCCTTTCCAGCTGTCAATGTTGCTTAGAGACGGTTCCTCTCTCGTTCATCCCAGCCGCTGATGGCACCTTCCACGTGTGCCGCCGTACCCCCTTTCACCCCTTTTCACCTAATTCCACCCCTTTTCACCTAATTCCACCCCTTTTCACTGCCTTTCACCGCGTTGCATCCCCTTCCACCGCTTTCAACCAGGCGCCTTTGATGACGCGGATGTGATTCACGTGGAGGATACGGTGGATCCCATCAGGGACCTGGAGATCATTCACAACGAGCTGCGGTTAAAGGACATTGATTTCATGGAGCGAGCCTGGTGCATTTGAAAGTTATCACCGCCTTTCTCCCCTTTTCACCCCTTTCCCCCTTGCACCCGTTTCCACCGCTTTACACCGCTTTCCACACCTTTCAACCAGGTGCATTCGATGACGCGGACGTGATTCACGTGGAGGATACTGTTGATCCCATCAGGGACCTGGAAATCATTCACAACGAGCTGCGGTTGAAGGACGTTGAGTTCATGGAGCGAGCGAGGGAGGACTATGAGAAGCAGCTCAAGAGGAGCAACGACAAGCAGCTCAAGATTGACCATGAGCTCTGCTGCAGGGTAAATTGTAGACAGGGGGAACGGAAGAGGGGGAGAAAGAGAGGGGAAAACCGCCTAGGAGAAGGGGAAAGAAGGGGGGGGGGGAGGAAGTGGGGAATGGGTACTGAGTGAGTAGGTATGAGGTGAGGCATGGACCTGGAAATCATTCACAACGAGCTGCGGCTGAAGGACGTTGAGTTCATGGAGCGAGCGAGGGAGGACTATGAGAAGCAGCTCAAGAGGAGCAACGACAAGCAGCTCAAGATCGACCACAAGCTCTGCTGCAGGGTATGTGGGTGAAATGGGATAAAGGGAGATCGGGGGGGAGAAGGAGAGGGGGAAACTGCTTCGAAAGGGGAAAAAGGGGGAGGAAGGAAAGGGGGAAGGATGGTGATTGAGTAGGTAGGAGAGGAGGCAGGGAGAGAGCTGCGGCTGAAAGACGTTGAGTTCATGGAGCGAGCGAGGGAGGACTATGAGAAGCAGCTCAAGCGCAGCAACGATAAGCAGCTGAAGATTGACCACGAGCTCTGCTGCAGTGCAGGGTATGTGTGGGTGGGTCAAGGGGGTAAAGGGAGAACGGGAGGGAGCGAAAACGTGAGGGGGGAACCGCTTGGAAGAAGGGGGCGGTGCAGGTAGGGGGTACTAATTGAGTAGGTAGGTACGCGAGGTGGCAGGGATCTGGAGATTATTCACGTTAATGGTGGCTGAAGGACATTGAGTTAATGGAGCGAGCAAGGGAGGGCTATGAGAAACAGCTGAAGCACAGCAACGACAAGCAGCTCAAATCAAAATCGATTACGAGCTCTGCTGCTGGGTGAGAGGGAGAGAGGAAGTGGGAAAAGTTGCTTTTGGTGCTCTCTCTTGGTGACGAGGTCATCCCATCCCATCCCATCCCATCCCATCCCATCCCATCCCATTCCATTCCATTCCATTCCCAGGTGCTGGCGCATCTGAATGAGGGCAAGGACGTGCGGCTGGGCGATTGGAAGGCAGCTGATATCGAGGTGCTCAACACCTTCCAGCTGCTGTCCGCCAAGCCTGTCGTCTACCTGGTATGTACGTTAGGAGATGCGTGTGATTTAGTGTGAGTCTATGTGTGAATGACCGAATGACAGCTGGGCGATTGGAAGGCAGCTGATATCGAGCTCCTCAACACCTTCCAGCTGCTGTCCGCCAACCCCGTTGTCTACCTGGTATGTGTTCGAGGGGATGTATGTGATGTGAGGGTATAGATGTGGGGAAATGTGTAAGATTTGGTGTGAGTCTATGTGTGAATGAACGTATGACTGTGATAATCTCAGGTGTCTCTGTGCTCAACACCTTCCAGCTGCTATCTGCCAAGCCTGTCGTCTACCTGTTACGAACGACTGATTGTGAATAAGCAAATGGATGCTGCAGTCATGCGTCTCCTTGGCTCTGGGACGACAACTTCCCATATTCGTGACACTTTACGTTGCACAAATTTGTCGCTGATTGACTCCCTTGTGTCTCCTTGTCTCCCTTGTGTCCCTTGTGTCCCTTGTTTCCCTTTTGGCTTACCAATGGCAGGTGAATCTGACTGAGAAGGACTATCAGCGCAAGAAGAACAAGTGGCTTGCCAAGATCCATGGCTGGTGAGTGGCTCCGTTTCTTATTAACAGATTTGTGTGTTCATTTATTTGTTTATTTATTTGCTTTTACATTTTTTCCCCTTCCTTTTAGGGATTGCGCAAAAGACTTGCCCTAAAGGAATCACTCTCTCTCCATCGTTCTCTACTGCGTTGCCTGCAAAGTGCAGAAGCATGGTCCATTTCATAGTGCATATAGTGTGAGCAGCAGTTGTGTAGCCTAGGCTTAAGCAAAAGAAGCATGGTGCACTATGCAGGGTTGTGATTCTCCTCCATTTCATAGTGCACGTAATGACACACGCCCAAACTTGTTCTCCCCTTCCCATGCAGGGTGCAGGAGCACGGGCAGGACCCCATCATCCCGTTGCCCTGTGCGCCACATCACACTCACTCACATCACAACCCCACCACGCTTTCTTCTTCCCCATGCAGGGTGCAGGAGCACGGGCAGGACCCCATCATCCCCTTCAGCGGTGTGTTGGAGTCGAAGCTGGCGGACATGCCGGCTGACGAGGCAGCTAAATACTGCAAAGAGAACGACATCCAGAGGTGAGCGGTGCGGAGGGGTGGAGAGGGGTGGTGCGTGGTGAGAGATGCAGGGAGGTGAGTATTGCAAAGACAACGACATCCAGAGGTGAGCATTGCACGGAGGTGACGAGGGGAGGTATGCGTGATGGAAGAGAGAGAGGCATTGGGGAGGCTGAGTCGAAGGTGTGATGTGTTGGAGTCGAAGCTGGCTGACATGCCCGCCGACGAGGCAGCCAAATACTGCAAGGACAACGACATCCAGAGGTGAGAAGGGAGGAGGGGTGGGTTGTGTGTGGAGGGGCGAGAGGCAGGGTTCATTCTGTGTGAGTTTTTCTTCTCATCCCCCGCATGCCCCGCCTCCTCCCTTTACCTTTCCTGCTCTCCCTTGTCCTCACCCCACCACATCCCCTCTTTTAACCTCCCAACTGATTCCAGCTCATGCACTCGCTCGCTCGTCCCGCCCCTTTTTCTCCCACGCCAGAAGAAAGCACTTCCTTCCATTTGCTCCATTACCTGAGTCTTCCTCCACTTCCCCCTCCCCTCCCCCCCTTTCCCTCCCTTTCCGCTCTTCTCTCTCGCTCCCCACCCGCCTTTCCCCCCTGTCCTGTGCTATGGTCCACGCAGTGCCCTTCCAAAGATCATCAAGACAGGGTTTGCAGCCATCAACCTCATCTATTTCTTCACTGCAGGGCCTGACGAGGTCAGTCTAATTTTTCTAAGTGGTGCTGCAGAGAGGGGGATGGGTCCAGTTCAAGCCCTTGGGGTTGAAAAAAAAAAAGAACGGAAGAACGTAAGAGAATACTCTAGGAGAAGGAATGCTAGAGAAACATCCCTGAACGAGAAGAACAGCATGAAGAAGTTTCGCTGGTACTCGTATCTCGTCTCCCTTCCCAACACCCCTTGCCTTGCTGCCCTCCTCTTTTGTCCTGCCTTCTCATTCTTCCCGCATGCTTCTCTGTCCAGACTATCAATTGTCCAACTGTTTTCCAACTACAGCCTAGTGCTGCAGTGCTGGCAGATTCGCAAGCCGACCATCGGCGCCTCAAGAATCATTTGACCAAGGCACCGCAATCAGCAGGGGTCATCGCACTGACCATTGACTGGCTCTTTCCTCTCTGCTCCCCTCTTTCTTCACTGCATCCGTGTGCGTGCTTGCACGTGCACCAGGTGCGGTGCTGGCAGATTCGCAAGCAGACTAAGGCACCACAAGCAGCAGGGGCCATCCACACCGATTTTGAGAAGGGATTTATTTGTGCAGAGGTCAGCTGCCTGTTATGTTTTCTTTTTACTGCTTTAGTTTTTTTTCTTCTTCTCTTCTTTTCTTTTAGTTTTCTTCTTCGTCTGTTCGATTTTCTATTTGTGATGGTGTGTTTCTTGGTCTGAAGTTTTTTTTGTCCTTACAATCCACGTACTCTTTTCTACTGTGCTTCCTGTGTTCACCAGGTCATGAAGTTTGAAGATCTAAAAGAGCTTGGATCTGAAGCTGCCGTCAAGGTAAGTCAATTGGATTCACTCTGTCATGAGTCATGGCCCCTTCTCACAAACTGCCATATCTATACTTCGATTCAATTGGCATCCTCTGAATAATGTCATTTGCTTTGTGTATCATGACAGGCTGCTGGCAAGTACAAGCAAGAAGGGAAGACATATGTGGTTCAAGATGGAGATATTATCTTCTTCAAGTTCAATGTCTCTGGGGGTGGCAAGAAGTAGGCCTCCCATTTTGAAGAATTATGTTTGTGAAGGCAAAGCTGTTATGTTGGGAAGTAGATTTTGGCAAATTTTGTAATGATGGTTTATAGCGATTTGTTAACATTCCAAGTGATGTGCTTTATGAAGTGTTTTCGACACTTGGCCAATCACGTCTGCCAGCGTGGCATATTTGTTTGAGGCACTGGATTGAAAACGCGCAACGTGGACAAATCCACTCCCCCCTTTCTTCTACCCCTCCCTTCCCCTCTCCTCCTTCCCCTTCCTCTCCCTTGGGATTTCCGGCCTTCCCCCACCCTCCCTCCTTTCCCGTATCTTTCCCCGCCCTCCCCTCCCGCGCCACTCTTCCGCCGATCATCCTCTCGAACACTCCTGCTGCTGCTCTCTTCCTTCCCCTGTTCCTCACCCTTTCCAGTCGTCAGTGCTTAGTTTTTGGGAGCACATTAGTTGGCGATTCTAAAGCCGCAGCGGAGCAGCAGCACGTGAAGGCTCTACCGTGCTTCTTTTCCTAGAGGAGGGTTGATTTCGTGTGGCGAAAATGGCTGCTGCCGCTTCGTTGCTGACGAATCAGATTGCTTCACTGAGCATCAGGTTAGCTCGGGTGCTGGTCTTCTAAGCTATATAAGCGTCGCTTTCTTGGCTTCTCCAAGAGTCCTAGTTAGGCTGTGTTGATTCGACTCAGTTGGTCGCGTGCATTGGTTAATGGGTCTCCGCAGCACTGTATATACTCACGTGCATTAGTCAGGTGCTAGTTCGCCAGTTCGGTTTGTTGACCAAACAAGCATCTCGCTTAGCCCAGTGCCGTATCATCAGGGGCATTCAGGCGAAAAACGAAGCTTTATCATGAATGAGGAGATTAGGGTTCGCGTCTCCATTGCGCGGTTTAGGCTTTTTGCCGCTTTTGGCAGATTGTATCCATGCTCACTCTCACCCATTGTCATTCGCGCGTCGCGCTCTTCTCATGGCCCACTCGTGCTGCTCCTTTGAGTCGGTTGTCCGTATCCTAAGCCGTTCAGTCCCCGTTTGTAGGAAGGGAAGGTAGGGGAACGGCAGGCGTGCGGAACGCCGGACCTGCAGCCCACTTATCCATGTGCCAAAAAGCATCTCCTCGAGTCCACTTCATAGACGTATTTTGAGAGTTCACTTTAAATACGAATACAGGCAACTGACCTCACCACGAGAGGCCTTTGTTTGTGCCCTACGTTTCGTCACCTTTCCGGTCCTCGCATTCCTCATTTGCCCACTCGCTGGACGACCCACGTCACCACCCCTGGTATTATTTCCCACGGCCGTGCTCTCACAATCTCCGCTGTCCACTCCATCGCCCCCCCTCCATCCACGCCACACCATGCATCCCTCACTATGTCCCATCCCCCGCTATCACTCCTCGCATTCCCATCCTCGCTTCTACCCCCGTCGTAGGCAGCATGCGTCAAGTCCGGGTTAACGAGGTCTGAAACGTCTCGAAGCTCATTGTATCCCATTCCCCCTCCATCCCATCCACCTCCGTCCCCACTCCCGTCCCCACCCTCATCCCAATTCCCGTCCTCTCAGGTCATCAGCATGCCTTAAGTCCGACTTTGACGGCCGTGCTCTCACACTCTCCTCGCCTCTCGTCGCCGCGGCGCCCTCCATCCGCCGCCGCGCCGCGGTCGCGTCAGCCGCTCCCCCAGCCGCCGCCGCCGCCGCGGTCTCCGCCGCAGCTCCCGCCGTCGCCGCGTCGCTAGCGCTCGATGATGACGTGGACGCGTCCAGCCGGCGGTACCCGCCATTTGCGGCGTTCAGGATCCACGGCACGGGCAGGAGAAAGACGGCCGTGGCGCGCGTGGGGCTCATCGAGGGCAACGGCGAAATTTTCGTGAACGGGCTGCCCCTGAATGAATATTTCCAGAACCAGGCGCTCATGATCCAGGTAGAAATTGCGGGCGGGTTTGAAAATATTCGGAAATTCGGGAAGGAAAATGGGCGGGAAAGAGCGGGAGAAAAATGCTCTGAGAAGGGAAATTGACGGTCTTGAGGGGATTGACTGTCTGGGGAGGAAAGGTGGTCAATGAAGGAATGACGGTCAAGCGGTGAATGTCGGTGAAAGGGGGAATGGCGGTCAAAGGGGGAATGGCGGTCAAAGGGGGAATGGCGGTCAAAGGGGGAATGGCGGTCAAGGGGGGAACGTCGGTTCAAGTGGGAATGGCGGTCCTGGAGGGGGGGGATGACAGTCTGGGGGGGATTCACGGTTTTGGGTGAGGGATGGTCCGGGGAGAACTGGTGATCCAGGGGGGAATTTTGCGGCGCCTCAAAAGTGTTTTGTATTTTGGTGTATGTTGATGCGCCTCAATATACACCTCAATGCTCTTGGTTGAGTGATGGTCCGGGGAGAAATGGTGTTACAGGGCGGAATTCTGCGGCGCCTCAAAAGTTTTTTGTATTTTGGTGTATTTTGAGACCCCTCAAAACACACCTTAATGTTTTTGGGTGAGTGATGGTCCGGGGGGAAATGTTGGCCCAGGGGGGAAATGTTGGTCCAGGGGGGAACCTGCGGTCTAAGGGGACACGGTCTAGAGAGGTATGGGAATGGCAGCAGCTCTTGAACCACCAGGGGGAGGGTGTGGAGGGGGAGGGTGTGGAGGGGGAGGGCGTGAAGGGGGAGGGTGTGAAGGGTGTTGGTGTGAAGGTTGAGAGGAGCAGTGAGCAGGTAAAGGACCACAAGCACCAGGCAGTGAAGCTGCTCTTGTCCTTGCTGGGCTATGAGAGCAAGTGCATCGTGGCGTTGATGGCACACGGAGGGGTGACTATGTTCATTGTGTGAATCTGTTTCCCTTCCACCATATTTTCCCCTTCATCCCCAGTCTGTCAAGCTGCCTCTCTCATCGCTGGGCTATGAGGGCAAGTATGATGTGGCGGTGAAGGCACATGGAAGGTAGAGGTCATATGCCATCTTATTCCCTTCCCCACCTTTCTCTAACTCCAACTACCCCGACCAGGCTGTCAAGCTGCCTCTCTCATCGCTGGGCTATGAGGGCAAGTACGATGTGGTGGTGAAGGCACACGGTAGAGGTCATATGCCATCTCATTCGCTTCCCTTCTCAGATTCTCATTTCATAACCCCAAATACCCCTATCAGGCTGTCAAGCTGCCGCTGTCCTCTCTGGGCTATGAGGGCAAGTACGATGTGGTGGTGAAGGCACACGGAGGGTAGAGGTCATATGCCATCTCATTCCCTTCCCCACCTTTCCCTAACTCCAACTACCCCTATCAGGCTGTCAAGCTGCCTCTCTCATCCCTGGGTTATGAGGGCAAGTATGATGTGGTGGTGAAGGCACACGGAGGGGGCCTCAACGCCCAGGCGCAGGCCATGGTTCTGGGGATTGCCCGCGCTCTCGTTGCTGCCAGCGCTGCCAACCGCCCGCCCCTCAAGGCCCAGGGCATGCTTACGCGTGATGCCCGCTCGGTAGAGCGCAAAAAGTACGGGCTCAAGAAGGCCCGCAAGGCTCCTCAGTACTCCAAGCGTTAAATGTGGAGTGGGGGTTTGGGTGGAGATACAGTGGATATACAGTGGAGAGGTTGTCTACATGCAGTTAATTAGACGTGAAGCAAGAGTTTTTGCACTGGAAGTCTCATGCTTCTTTGTATGTTTCGCACAATGTGCTGATCAATATCTGTTACTTTGCTGCTAGGAAAGCTGCTGCTTCCCGAATGCCACCATGTTCAAATCTCAATCAAACTTCAGTTAAGAAATTGACTTATTTGGACACTCTCCACAGCTTTTCGCGGCACATATCACAGTTTTTTTGTGTGTATTAGTTGACAACAATTTTCAGGCAGATGGGAGGAGAGCAATGACCAAAAAGTTTTGTTCGACGTGGATACGTCATTGTGCGCCACGCTGCACCGCAGTGGGTGCTACTACTCCACACCTCATCCAAACCAGTCAGCATCTACGCCACGTCAGAAATCCTGTCTCAGAAATCTCCGCGCCTGAATTTCGAATCGGCGGGCACCGCCAGTTCCTCCTGCGCCCATCAAGGCTCTTCCGAAGTCCGACCCGCGCGCCCTCCTCCATCCCCGCTTCTCGTTTCCGCGCACTTAGCCCGCCCTTGATTGGTGATGTCGGTTGGGCTGCTTCGCCTGTCCCTCCAAACAGTCAGAACCATGTGAACCAAACTAAAACAAACCGAAATCCACTAAATCGTAATGAACCGAACTTTCTTGGATCAGCACAAGTTTATGAGCGTCAGGTTTGCACTCTTTTTGAACCTTACCCAACCGAGGCAAGTTTTAACAAAACCTCTGTGGAACGCACAGCACCTAAACGTTGTCACACACGCAGGACCTTCAGCTTACGTTTCTTGCTCCAACTCTGGCTTGTTCGCCTCTGCCCATGCCTTGTTCCTTCCTCTCTCCGTATCTGCAGGGCCTTAGCTCCTGTTTCCAAAAAGGCAGTGAAAATTCAGGCTGTGGTGGTTAGGTTACGTGGCAAGAGGTGCCTGTTTCCGCTGATTGCTCCTTATCTCCTGGAATAGCATCAGACTGCTAACAATGGCGGCATTCTCGATGGCGTCGCTCCAATGCGCGCTTCCGCGTGTCTCCCTCTCGCAGTCCGCGGTCGCCTCCCCCGCGCGCAAGCCCGTCGTGTCCGCCATGGGCGCGTCGTCGTCGCGCCTCTCCGCTTCGTTCAACGGCCTCCGCCGCGATAGCCTCATCAGTCAGTCTTCGGGTAGGGTTACAAGCAGTCAAGGGTGGTCAGGATTAGGGTTAGAAGCAGACAATAGTAGCTGCTTGGGTGCACCTGAAGTCTAGGATTACGGAAACACCCCCGGACTGCTGTTTTATTTCCATACGGTAGAATCATATTCTTCAGGCGTTACAGAAATCGGTAGTTTAGGGTTATGGAGACACACGGATGCTACTGCTAGGTCTCCATTTTCGTTGGAGAATGCAAGAGCACAAGTACGGACTGCCGCTGTCCGCATAACCTGTAGCTCGTCCGACGGTCGTCGTTTCGGTTCCTGCAAGGGAGGTACACATTTCGTGTTTTTTTAGGCGCGTAAGAAATATACTAACACTGCTGTGCCTCCAAACCGACTGAATGAACGGCCAGGCGGCTGTTAGGATGGCGTCGATCGGCCAGCGGGACACACGAGTCGAGGCGCGTCAAAAGTTGGTTAGGCTACTAAGCAGGATAGGGTTACGCAGGGGAAGCTGCTGCGTTTTGGTAGAAATCGTCGGAATCCCGGGAATTCGTCGGCTAGTTTTCCTCGGGGTTTGCCAGGACACAATGAGACTGCATTGGTCTACAGAGCGCGGGAAAACTTTTGAGTCCGCTCAGAAGTCCCAGGGGTAACAGGCAGACGGTAGGTCGACTGCGCGCTTGGGTACAGGCACGGAAGTGCTGCTTTGGTAGCGTGCGGACGCTGGTAGAGTCACCAGGGGTCTCATATTGCATTATTGGAACGAAAAGGTAGGGATGCAGAGCGCCTACCCTCAGCTGCAAAACGCGTGAGCGAAAGTCTTTGGTTCTTCTTAACCCACACTATGACTCTCCCCCTCATCGCCACCCCTTCCCCCCTCCCCACCCTTTCCCCCCTGGCATGCCATCCTTCTTATGGTTCTCAAGACACCTCCCCCTCCCACCCCCTCCATATCATGAAGACGCCTCAAACTCTTCCCCTCTCCTCTCGTCTTCACTCCCCGCATTCTTGTGATCCCCTTCCTCCCCTTCTCTCCCTTTGACCATCACCACTCCCTCAACCCATCGAACTCACGGCATCAAACTTAGCGTCTCCCCGCTCTATGTCGGGAAATGCCCACCGTCCTTTCTTTTAACCGTTCTCACGTGAAGACGTCTCCTTTTTCAACCCTCGCCCTCTTTGACTGTTCTCTCCTTAACGGGTCCCTTCCTTACCTTAACCGTCTTCCTCTCTTCTCCCCCCATTTTCCCCTTCGTCTCCCCATTTCCCATTCCCCGCATTTTCCCGCATTTTCCACCCATTTTTCCCTGGGCGTCATATCTCTTCCCCCATTCCTCCCGTCCATTCCCCTCCCCCGCTCCGCCCCTCCCCTCCCCACAGACCTCTCCCCCCTCTCCTCCGTCCTCCCATCCAACGGCTCGCGCGTCTTCGCGATGCGCCACGGCCGTCGGATCGCGCGGCTGGGCCGGCCCGCGGACCAGCGCAAAGCCCTCCTCCGCGGCCTCACCACCGAACTGCTCCGCCACGGCAGAATCAAAACCACCGCGGCGCGCGCGAAAGCCATGCGCAAATACGTCGACCACATGATTACGCTCGCCAAGGGGGGGAGCCTGCACGAGAGGAGGCAGGCGCTAGGGTTTGTGTATGATAAGACGCTGGTGCACGCGATTTTCTCAGATGCTCCGGAGAGGTATGCGGAGCGGGAGGGAGGGTATACGAGGATTATCAGGACGATGCCGCGACGGGGGGATAATGCACCCATGTGCTTTATTGAGCTGGTGTAAGCGCAGCAGGGGAAGGAGTGTAGAGGGATGGCAGGAGTAAGGTCTATGTTGGAGGAGCAGGATAGGTGCAGCAAAGCAAAAGCAGGAGTGTCTGACAAAAGGGAACAGCATTGTACTGGTTCTCTATATTGTTACATGATTTAAGAGCCATGAATACATGTTGCTCAGTCTGCCATAAAACTCCTTGTTCAGTGCCTGTTTTTGCTGGAATATTACCGTGTGCTGCTGAGATACCAGGAACAAGGTGGGAACATCAGCCAAGAATGACTGAGATTAGCCAGATGAAATAGCTGCAGCTGAAGCATATGGCTTAACTGTATGCTATCCAGTTCAAGCACACAATTGGGCGGCACAGCCCACTAAACTAATGCACGCAACGCAACCACCAGACACTTGTTTCAAGGCTAACTAGGAAGGAACCAGAAGGCTTTGGGGAATTCGAATAGCACTCCCGTGCTCTCTTGTCCTGTGCGCTGCTGGTGAAGATCCTTGGTGAGTGGCAAGCACTGACGAAGGAAAGCCAATGCTCCTCACGCGCTTGTAGATAGATTGGCCAGTTTTACCACAAAGTTGGATCAGCTTGAAGAGAGGATGGCAGCAAGGGCGTTTTGGATGTTTCTGTATTTGAAGCGGAACCCAAGGCTCTCGGTACGCTTGGGCAGCACTCGCTGCCCGTCCAGCACCTGCAAGAAACAACCGGGAAGGGGGGGAGAGGGGGGGGGGAGAGGGGGGGGGGGAACTCGATGTTTCATGAGGTCCTTTCCCTGACTACGGATGGGTTGCATAAGAATGCAGAGTATTTTTGAGGATTCTCAAAAATAATCTAGCTCCCTGACTACGGATGGGTTGCATAAGAATGCGATGGACGGCCAATGGCAGAGCCCAGCGCTTCACAGAGCTGCGCCATGCAGTTCTGAAGCTGCACTCCTAAAAAGCACCCCTGAAAAGCACCCGTGAAAAACACCCCTCCACTGCACCACCCTTCCCTAGAACCACCCATCACCACGCCCCATTCCCCCTCACACCCCCACAATCTCCTTAACCAGTCACGCGGCAACGCCATCCCCCCCCCTCCTCTCACATAAGCACTCACCACCATGGCTTTTTCTTTAAGGAGTGTCTGCACAGCAAAGTTGGGGACAGAAAGCCTCGACGGCCGGCCGATGGCAGAACCCAACGCAGCACATCACAGAACTGAGAGCATTACTAGGGCTGCACCCTCCCCCCCCCCCCCCCCCCCCCCCCCCTCACCACCATGGCTCCCTCTCCAAGGAGTGTCTGCACGGCAAAGTTGGGGACGGGCAGCCATGAGGGCCGGCCGATGGCCAAGCCCAGCGCCTCACAGAACTGCGCCATGCGGACTTCAATCCACACAACACACCCTCCCCCACCCCCCACCCCCCCCAAGACACTCACCACCATGGCGCCTTCCCCTAGAAGCGTTTGGACAGCGAAGTTAGGAACAGGCAGCCACGAGGGCCGGCCGATGGCAGAGCCCAGCGCCTAGGGCTGCACTCTCCCCCCTCTCCCCTCCCCTCCCCCCCTCCCAAGGCACTCACCACCATCGCTCCCTCTCCAAGGAGTGTTTGAACTGCAAAGTTGGGGACAGGCAGCCACGAGGGCCGGCCAATGGCCGAGCCCAGCGCCTCACAGAACTGCGCGCATCACTAGGGCTGCAACCCCTCCCTGAAGACACTCACCACCATGGCTCCCTCTCCCAAAAGAGTCTGAACAGCGAAGTTGGGCACGGGAAGCCACGAGGGCCGGCCGATGGCAGAGCCCAGCGCCTCACAGAACTGGGCCATGCGGGCTGGGCTGGGCGCGGTACCGTTCAGCACCCCTTGGAACTCCGTGTTGCGCAGCGTTTCGATGATGAGGGCGACTAGGTCGTCCCTGTGCACCCACGACATCCTGATGGGTGGTGATTAGGAGTGAGGAGGGGTGTTAGGAGCTAGGCTGGGGAGTGGGGGATGGGTAGTGGGTCAGGTCAGTAGGTCACAGGCATGCCCCCCTGCTTTTCTGAAGTGAACCATAGCAAT